AACTCAGCGATTACGCAATGAATGGAGGGGATAGGTTCTGCCTAAACATCCTCTGCTTAGGATCACACGCAAGGCAAACAACCCGTTCTACCAAGTCCACAGTACTGAGCTTCGGCTGTAGCGACAGTATAAAAAGCAAGCCATCTTCCTATCGTCTACCCCATCTCAAGAAGACTATTCGAGCAATTCATACCACCTCACACAAACAATGCGTTTCTCTTTCCTCGCCGCTATTGTTGCTTTGGCGGCATCTATCATGTCTGTCAGTGCATGTCAAGGTTCGTTCCAGAGTTGCAGAGTCAAAAGTGATTGCTGTGGAAGCTTGAACTGCGTGACACTTGTGAGTAGAAGTAGTTTGCTTTGTATCCAATTTTCACCTGATGACTCGCTTTGTAATATCAGCTTGCGGGTAATAGAATCTGCTCAACCTAGTGAGCCAAGTGTCCACTTTCGCATTAGTGAGCCATGGTTCCGCTTTTGCTTCGGTGCTGTTATTGATCGAACGATGCGTAGGATGTTGCTGATATCAATAAATGGGTAGAGGCAATATCGAGTTCATGTAGGCATGTCGAGTGAATGAAGTATAAGTAACCTACGTTCTCACAATTATGGTTCGTGGGATCATACATAGCCGGACATCGATCTCGTTGATGCACCAGCACTGTGGAAAGCAAACTCAAAAGTCAGCCTTCTGTTTTCAAAGTTGTCTTGTTTGAATGTCGAACCATTGCACTGAGTTCTACGTACACCAATTTGTTTTCAACGAGATCCTTTGTTCTGAGTTCAATAACAAGTTTGTCGTCACTGGAATATTATTTCACCGAGTTTGTCAACATGCACTGTTAGAGCTCAAATGCTGATGCGAATGCAGCTTAGCTTGAACGTTTGGAATACCACTGATCGATCATACATGACCAAAATCAAATAGTATCCCTCTTTTCTGAGTCCATTATCTGGGAGGGGGTACATTTCTGACTTCACTTCCTACCCGTTTATGCGTCAACTTGTACCCAAGTCTGATCATAGCATTTAGATACACTAGCATAGTCCGTTATCTGGGACTGATTGCTGAGGTCTGAAAATAGCGTTTAGATTTTACACGCACCAAGTTACTAATGTGCATGCCGAGATCCGTCGTGAACCGAAATTGTCACACCAAGATCATCCTTTGCTCAAAACGTGTGTGAGCAGAAATTGGAATAAAATAAAATAAGCGTGTCCTATCAGAAGTCACCAAATCAAAGCATGGATGAGCAAAATGATAGAGGGAGTAAACGTCCGTTGGCAGCTGCCCAGGATCACACGTATGCAGGACAAGTCTGTTCTACCAAAGTTTATAACACTAAACATCAGCTATGGCAATAGTATAAAAGCAAATCATCTTCCCACCTTCTACCCTATCTCAAACAGACCATCCAAGCACCTCAGCAATTCATACGACCTCACAAACAATGCGTTTCTCTTTCCTCACCGTTACGGTTGCTTTGGCGGCTTCTATAATATCAGTTAGTGCATGTGAAGGTGCGGGCCGGTTGTGTGTAACAACAAGTGACTGCTGTAGAGGCACGACCTGCAAATTTATTGTGAGTAGGAATAGTCTCTGTGCATCGAATTTTCACCTGATGACTCACCTTTTGCGCCTTGTAATATCAGGGCGGGGGTCCTGAAAGACTCTGCTCAACATAGTGAGCTAAGTGTCCACTTTCGCATTGGTGAGCCATGGTTCCGCTTTTGCACCGGTGATGTTGTTGATCGAACGAAGAGTAGGATACTGCTGGTGAAATGAGTAGATGCAATATTGAGTTCACATAGATATGTTAAGTGAATGAAGTATAACCTGCCGTGGGATCATACATGACCGGATATCGATCCCGCTGATCTAGTACCAGCACTGTGGAAAGCAAACTCAGCCTTCTGTTTCAAAGTCGTCTTGGACCAAGTTTGAATCATTGCGCTAAATTCTACATGCACCAAATTGTCGCAACAAGATCCTTTGTACACCAAGTTCAATAACAAAGTTTAGCATGCTATCAGTGGAATATTTATCGCACCGGATGTATTACACTGTTAAAGCTTAAATGCCGATGCGAATGTGGAGCTTCATCGCTTATCAGCGGGTCGGATTGTATACAGAACCTACAGAACGCTACAGAGCGCTTTGTAGCACTCTGTAGTGAATTACGTTTTCCTGATGTTAGCTTGAACGTTTGTAATACCAACGGCCGAACTCTCGTAGATACTCTCTTCCTTCAATCTGTTATCTGGGTCTGAGGTCTGATCATAGTGTTCATGTTTTACACGCACCAAGTTAGCCTCTACTGATGTGCATCGAGATCTGTCGTACACCGGAGATTGTCGCATCAAGATCCTTTGCTCGAAATGTGTGAGCAGAGACCGAGAAATAACTGAGTGCGAGTGTCCTATCAAGAGCCATCATTGAACTCAAAGCATTATGAAATCAGCGAAATGAAGGGGACAGGTTCTGCCTAAACACCCGTTGCCCAGAATCGCACGCAATGCAGGCCCGTTTTGCTGGCACAACACGAAGGGTCAATTTCGCGACAGCATAAAAGCAAGTCGTCTTCCTGCCGTCCACCCCACTTCAAGAAACTATTGAGCACCTCAGTACTTCAAGTTCATACCACCAAACACAAACAATGCGTTTCCCCTTCTTCATCGTCATTGTTACTTTGACGGCATCTATCATGTCTGTCAATGCATGTCTAGGAGCATACCTGGATTGCCTGACACAAATGACTGCTGTAAAGGCTTGACCTGCGGGATGGTAGGAATAGTTTGCTTTGCATCAAATTTTCACTGGATGACTCACTTTTTACGCCTTGCCCTATCAGGTGCTTGGTCACCAAGTTTGCTATGGCAACGTGAGTCAGGCGTTTACTGTTGCATTGGTGCTGCTGTTGATCGAACAATACGTAGTCTGACGATGCTGATTGAGAAATGGGCAGAGGCAATATCGAGTTCAAGTGGACATATCAAGTGAATGAAATATAAGTAACCCTAACATCAATATTTTGCCTGTGGTGTTATTCCTTGTTTTGACCTAATCAAACTCAAAATCAAAAGCATTCTCTGGAGCACTTCAGCTTCACTAGTGCTCTGAAGTTCTTCACTGCTCTTGAGTCTTCATCTCTTCGAGAGCCACAAATTCAGCAGCAACGTCGTCAGCCAGAGATACTCTCTGTACGAGAAGAAGGTCATTTACATCACGAATCTTGGTCGAGAGCGGAGGTGTGCACGCGAAGGATGCTTCAAGATTCTGTGCAGTCTCAACAAGAATGTCGAACTCTTCACGAGTATGCATGTGAGCATGTCTACGGTAGGAGGACTCCCCAGCCTCCACGGCTTTTACGACGCTGTCTTGTCGAAGGTTTGCACAAGTTTTGCCGAGTATTTCAAATGTGTTCAGTCCCAGTAATGGCAGGTTATGATAGAAGGGTCGTAATCAATTGAACACGCTATTGCAGGTTCTACCGAAATTTCCGCCATCTTACAGCAATAACGTTTCTGCCAAATCGATCAGAATCGTGCCCAGCATACGCAGGATATAAAAGCTGGCCGTTGTCCTACGGTGTTCCACTATCCTCAAAGATATCATTCGAGATCGCCCTCAGAAGATTCCATATCACCTCGCACAGAAAATGCGTTTCTTCTTCCTCGCCGTTGTTGCTTTGACAACATCTATGTCTGTTGGCGCATGTAGTTCATCAACTTGCAAAGTAGATGATGATTGCTGCGATTTCATGGTTTGCGAAGATAATTACGTGAGTGTGTACAAGTCGCTGTGCAACCAGAATTCAAGCACATGATTGACCTGTGCGCCTTAGCATGGAGGCAAGGACTGCATGTAGATTCAAATTTGAGCCAGCGACCCGAGCGGCACATCGCAATAGTGAGTCATGTTTCTACTTTCGCTTTGGTATCATGGTTGATGGTGCAATACATAGTTCGGAGTCAATCGGTACAGTTGTTTCTGGAGAAAGTGGATGTTTGAACTTGTATATGAGAACGACCGTGCCTGGTTGCTCGTCGCCCACTAAGCTTCAGTTCGAGAGGCTGTCAAAACAAGCGATCATTGTTGTTAAGATTAATATTATCGGGAGGTCATACGAAGATAGAACGTACTGCGCAGACAATCTTGAATCTGTTCGTCTAACGTTGGCCTCGAGGACTAGCTCATGGCCTCTCTTTGCAGTGTGTGATGGAGCCAACGAGACGTCACTTTGTTGCCGATCGTGATTCGTGACAGATCTGGTATATAGTCGACCCCCAAGGTCATATGGGAACGCGTGTCATGACGATGATGAAAGTGCAAAAAGGGGGCATCAAAGATAAAGATAAAGAGGTTTAATATTACTGCAGTGTGCATGTGCGGTACTTTCCATCAAGGGGAGAGTGATTTCTTCATCGAGCGAGTGTTAGATGGAGTGCAAGGGAAAGGACACAACTGAGAGACTGCACCGTCGCGTAGATTGTGTTGTTTTACCTGCATGCATAGCTACAATTGACTCAGAGGATCGTCACAGCAAAGACCTTGAGTAGGTAGATCTCAGAATTGATTAAAACAGTGACACGAAGCATCCTCCAGGCTCCGGCGTACACCATCTTATTTTAGGGACGTCGTTTTTGATGTTCTATTGAATTCAAATTGTGTTATAAGATCTAAATGACATCTCTGCGAGTCTCGGCTGGATACCCTGGAGTTCTGTCAGGTTCTTCCATCCTCCCTTCGCGTGAGTTCTGCCGTGGACCAGGCACAACCGAGCAAAATGAACAGAGGAAATAGATTCTGCCTAAACACCCGCTGGCAGCTGCCCAAGATCACACGTACACAAGACATACCCGTTCTACCAAGTCTATAACACTGAGCGTCAACTGTCACGATAGTATAAAGCAAGAGTATGGTGAGGTCAACTGGTGGCCCCACACTGACAATGGATTGAATGCGATGACGTGCTTCTGCAGCACTACGTTTTCGAAAAAGTATTCCAGTGGCAGATATCTTCAGCTGGAACAATGCCCAAAACAGCAAGAAGACGGCGAGCGACTCCGCCAAACAGGAGTAAGATGGATCAATTGTCGTCGACCGAATGCTCCGAGAACGACGCCGATGAAACCGAGGGCAAGGCACGCCGTGACGAGTAGATGATGCGAGCGCAAGGGGAGAAAAGGCAGGCACGAGGAGGATGTGACGTCGGGGCCGACGGCTGCACAGTATCAATGTTTCATTCTAATATGTCCGATAAGGAATCACTTACAGTATAAAGTCTAGCGCGCACGCAGATGAGCGTCTCAGTTCTGTTCCCAGAGACTGAGACGTGAGTACCCATACCTTAGCTATTTGTATACAGACGCTGACGCGACGTAGTACTCTTACCTGCTAGGTACACGTTTTGTCAATACTCAGTTCTGTTCCCAGAGACTGAGACTACTCTTACCTGCTAGATTCTATCCGTGTGTGTACCTTCTCCAGAGGTTATGAGCCCTGACATGACCGTCGATAATACGCTCCCCGGCACTACGTCCTCGCTGTTCAACGTCCCAAAACTTGCCGAAGATGGCACGAATTGGATTACCTACAAGGAGAGAACGTTGACGGCGATAAGTGCCCGAGGTTTGATGCGATATGCTGATGGTCGTGCCGTCGAACTGTTACCCTACCTCATTGGCAAGGATTCGGGAGTACCGGAGAAACCGGACGGTTCGATTCCCTCCCAGAAGGAGATAGATGAGCGCGATAAGAAAATGGATGAGTACGATCAAAAGAACTCACTTGTTAAGCAGCAAATCTTCAGTACGATTACCGACCGACTGTTGCTGCGCGTCCAAAAGTTCGAGTCTGCCTCAGAGGTCTGGGAGGAGATCTGCCAGATCCACGAAGACAAGACCGAGCTCGTCCAGATCGATTTACGGCGGCGCTTGCAGGAGACAAGGTGCGACGAGGGAGCTGATGTCAAAGCCCACTTCGCCGAGATGCTGCGCTTGCGCGAGCTGCTCGCGGGCATGGGTGCGGGGATCCTCGATACGGACTTCCATGCCATCATTCTCGGCTCGCTCCCTGAATCCTATCGCCCTCTCCTGTCCTCCATTAACGCGGCCGCCAAAATCACAAAGACCCCCTTGTCCTCCTATGAACTAATCAGTATCGTTACGGAGGAGTACGAGCATCGACAGCTCACCGAGAAGCGCCCCACTAAGAAGGGGAGTGCAGGGACCGCACTTAGTGCGAGAGAGTCTAGAGAAAAGGGAAAAAGGTCAGCTACGTCGAGCAAGGCGAATGCAGACGTTACCTGCTATAACTGCGACCGTAAAGGTCACTACAAAACGGACTGCTGGAGACCTGGCGGAGGGAAAGAGGGCCAAGGCCCGAATCAGCAGAGGAAGAAGGGTGAAAGAGGGCAGAAAGAGACGGCGAACTCAGCTGCAGAGTCCGCATCCCAGGACCAGTACGCGTTCGTGTCGTCCGACTTGGCAAGCATAGCCAAGGACCTGAAGGTCCCTGCCGATAGACGTGGCGCCATCAGTCGATTCCGGCGCCACCTCCCACTTCTGTCCAGACCGGACGAAGTTCACCAACTTCACCTCCATACCCCCCCAGGAGATCCGCACCGCCGACGGCTCCAGTCTGAGTGCCGTTGGTCGAGGAGATGTCGAGCTAGAGTTGCCCCTTGGTCAGAAGCGCACGAAGGTGACGCTGAGAAACGCACTGTACGCACCTTCCATGGCCTTCACACTCATTTCCACCAATCGGATCGCTGCCGCCGGGATGGCTGTCCTCTTCGAAGGACGGATGTGCAAGGTCCTCTCGCAAGGACCCAACCGGCGCGTCATCGCCGAAATCCCGCAGGTGGAAGGCCTGTACAGTGTGGCAGTAGCGAAGGCACGTCAGCATCATGCGAACGTAGCCCAAGGCAAGCTTACCGTTGGGGAGCTTCATAAGGTGCTGGGACATGTGTCCCAGCCTGCAGCAGCAGAAGCCGTCAAAAAGGGTCTGATTACGGGCCTCGAGCTGGACCACAGCTCAAAGCCCGAGTTCTGCGACGCGTGCACAAAGGCAAAGTCAGCACGTCAGCCTTTTCCCGACGAAAGTAAGAGCCGCGCACTCACCTACGGCGACCTTGTCCACACGGACTTGTGGGGACCAGCCCAGACTCCTAGCATCAGCGGGAGCCTCTATTATATCAGTTTCACTGACGACTATAGTCGTCAGACCAAGCTCCACTTCCTCAAGCTCAAAAGCGAAGCACTTACCGCTTTCAAAGCCTACGAGGCGTGGCTAGGACGCCAGACCCCAGGAGCGCGCCTACGCAAGGTCCGTTCGGACCGAGGGGGAGAGTACCTGTCTGCCGAGTTCGACCAGTACCTGCGTCAGCAGGGTATCGAGCGCCAGTTGACTGTCCACGACTCACCGCAGCAAAACGGGGTCGCTGAGCGACTGAACAGGACCCTGGTAGAACACGCTAGGGCCATGCTCATCGCCAAGGACATGCCTAAGTTTCTGTGGGCAGAGGCTGTCAACTATGCCACCTGGTTAAAGAACCGCTTACCGTCTAGAGCGACTCCTGGTACCACCCCATTTGAGCTCGTCCGAAAGGCCAAGCCAAGCCTCGCCCAAGCGCACGAATTCGGCGCGAAGGTCTATGTCCACCTGCAGGATGCAGGCAAACTCGAGCCTAGGGCGGAGGAAGCCCTTTTCATTGGAGTGGATGCGGAGAGCAAGGGCTACAGAATCTACTGGCCGGGTAAGCGCAGAGTGTCTGTGGAGAGGAACGTTACCTTTGGACCAAGGGAGGTAACGGTGGCCGAGGATGGGCTGAACGAGGGGGAGCCAGACGTCATGCGGTACGACGAATATAATAGCGGCAATACTAATAACGCACCTGTCGTCCAGTCCATCCCGCCACCTCCAACCCCAGCCAGAACCCCATCTCAACACCCCACAACCCCACCAGCACCAAGAACCACCCGCACCAGACCCCCTCCAGGATATTATGCGGCCCTCAATGAGGGGGAGACCGCGTCCCTAGCTTTAGATTCCCTGTTGGAGGCATCAGAGTTAGATCTTCTAGACGAAGAAGGACATATCCACCTTGCATTGGCCGCTGCAGAGCCAGAACCTACTCTCAAGCAGGCGTTAAACGGTCCGGATGGAGTAGAGTGGCAAGAGGCGCTGGATTACGAAATTGGTCAGCTTGAGAAGCTAGGTACGTGGGAAATCGTAGACGCACCTCGAGGCGCCAACATAATTCCCTGCCACTTCGTCCTCACCACGAAGCGTGGACCTGGACGGAGAGAAGCTCAAGTTGCGAGCTCGCCTAGTCGCCAACGGCCAGCACCAGCGCTACGGCGTCGACTACTTCGAGACGTTCGCGCCCACCGCAAATATGACCACCATACGCACAGTACTGACGATGGCGGCTCAGAAGGACTGGGAGATTCATCAGGTGGACATAAAAAGTGCGTACCTCTATGCCAGCATCCAAGAGGAGATCTACATGAGGCCGCCGCCTGGGTACCTGAAGGCCAGGCAGGAGGGAAAGGTGTTGAAGCTTAAGAGAAGCCTACCTGGACTCAAGCAAGCCGGTTTTGAGTGGGCGGAGGAGCTAGCGGGAGTATTCGCTGACCTGGGTTTCAGCCGTTCGAGAGTGGACCAGGCAGTCTACTTCAAGCGCATGCCGAAGGAGCACATTGTCATTACCGTATCCGTCGACGACATGGCCGTCACGGCAAACCACATCTCCCACATCGTCCAATTCAAGTCCCAGCTCCAGCAGTTCTTCGAAATTACGGACCTGGGAGAGCTAAACTGGTTGTTAGGTTTGAAGGTAACGAGAGACAGGAGAGCACGTACAATAACACTGTCGCAGAAAGCGTATGTGGCGACTCTCATCGAGCGCTTCCATTTGGCCGACGCCAAGAACGTCCAGACCCCAATGGAACCTGGAGTCAGCCTCTCGTCAGACCAGTCCCCTTCGACGCACGCAGAGCTGCAGGATATGCGCGACGTACCTTACCAGAGGGCCATCGGCTCCTTGATGTATGCCGCAACCAGCACGCGCCCAGATATTGCGTTCGCCGTGTCGTGCTTGTCCCAGTTTATGCGCAGCCCAGGCAGACCCCACTGGGAGGCAGCCAAGCGCGCACTGCTGCTACCTAAAAGGTACAGACACCTTCGAATTGACGTTGGGCCAAACAGAAGGAGGGCTTGAAGCTTTCGTTGACGCGGATTGGGCCTCCCAAGCCCATAGACATTCGACGTCGGGCTACATTGTGTTCCTCCACGGGGGAGCCGTGGCCTGGAGTGCTCGTAAGCAACCTATAATCGCTTTGTCCACAGCCGAAGCCGAATACATCGCACTCACCAGCGTTGTCCGCGAGCTCCTGTACCTCCGACTTCTCATCGAAGAGCTCTACGAAGCTCCTACGCAGCCCATCCCCATCCTCTGCGACAATCAAGCCGCTATAGCACTCGCGTCGAACGGAAAGTTTCAGTCACGCACCAAGCATATCGACCTCCGGTACCACTTCGTCCGTTCACACGTCAAGGACAGGACGTTCAAGCTCCACTACTGCCCCACAGACGATAACGTAGCCGACGCCTTCACGAAGGCAGTGCCACGACCCCGTTTGCAAAAGCTTAGAGCCCACATGGGACTAGCTTGCGCTCGAGGGGGAGTGTCGTCGACCGAATGCTCCGAGAACGACGCCGATGAAACCGAGGGCAAGGCACGCCGTGACGAGTAGATGATGCGAGCGCAAGGGGAGAAAAGGCAGGCACGAGGAGGATGTGACGTCGGGGCCGACGGCTGCACAGTATCAATGTTTCATTCTAATATGTCCGATAAGGAATCACTTACAGTATAAAGTCTAGCGCGCACGCAGATGAGCGTCTCAGTTCTGTTCCCAGAGACTGAGACGTGAGTACCCATACCTTAGCTATTTGTATACAGACGCTGACGCGACGTAGTACTCTTACCTGCTAGGTACACGTTTTGTCAATACTCAGTTCTGTTCCCAGAGACTGAGACTACTCTTACCTGCTAGATTCTATCCGCGTGTGTACCTTCTCCAGATCAATGACAACACTACTATAGTAGCAAGGTTCGTAAAGTATCTATACAGTACTATGTATAAATTTCTTGAAATGAATGTAATGTACCAAAGAAATGAAATGAGCGTGGCTGCCCAGAAGGGTTACACTAGAGAAGGGCTAGAAGTGGATGATTCCTTCTGTTCTTTAACGTAGGGGTGCGCTGGCTTGATGAACCTTCCGGGCCAGAATGGAACGTACACAACGATAGCCAAGCAAATGGGAATTGTATCACCCAGATAGAAGGCTGCCTCACTTGTGCTGAGATTGCCGCGGAAGCCCTGACTAGCCTCCACAACACGGTAGAAAGAACGAATCTATCAAATCATTAGTTAAAGACTATGAGATTACTGTCTACATGCAACACTAACCAGAAGTCCGATAGAACTGACCGACAAGGCAGCGGCCAGTGTTCGCCAGTCGTTAGACCAGGGTTGCTTCGAGTCTCGCATGCAGACATCCTGTTCCTCGGTGTAGACCCTGTAGAGGAATCGTGCATAAATGGCACAAAAGAAACCGAAGGAGACCAGTTGCATAATGAGGCCAATTAAAAAAATCTGATAGGTATAGTTAGACCATATTCCCACAGGCAAACTCTAGGTGCAAGGACATACGTGAAGTCCTGTCGATGCCGAACTTTGAACCTTGGACGTAGTCAATGAAGCTCCTCCCGCCTTGACACCACATCATCAGAGAAGGTCATTAAAAAAATCCAATGCTCACCTGGATGACAAAGGTAGTCACGTCGGACAAGACGAATATAAGGGTGAGCCGCTTCACTGGAAGCAAGACGTGATGAGCGCAGTCGATTTCACCGGCAAGGCGACCAAGAAGAGTATAATTCGCGGCAATGAAGAAACAGGGCTTTTTAAGGGTCAATACATGTTCATAGTCACAGTTTAGTGCTGACTCACAGACAACACGATCATCAAGTCCTCAGAGATGAAAATCCCCAATGAGTCAGGGCTGTGATGCAAAGCAAAGCGAAACGCAAAGCCGAGAGCATAGACTATAACCAACATAAAGAAGAGCCAAAACAAGCAAAAAAACTGACATTTACCGTATTCCCCGATGACCATGGACAACATGAACTTTCCGCCATTATAGATTACCTGATAAGTCTGAATGAGAACAACCAACAGCACATAAACTTCACACCATAAGTTTTGTGGTTCCCTGGCTTAGTGGTCACTCACCAAAGGCGACAGCAGTGAGCGTATTGTTAGCGATATATCCGAGGGCATTGCATGGGTCGTTTCGTGGGTCTAGATAAGGATCGGAAGGACATGTCACAGAATTGGTGGCTGCCTGAGCCGAGGTGACAAGAAGAGTCAAGAGAAACAAAGTGCTCGCTAAGATTGGGCCAGCCATGAAGAAGGAAGACGAAAAATAAGAAGATGAAAGATACCCTTCATAGATCAACGAGCTTGGCTTTTATGCTTGAATGAGTCCAACCAAAATATACACCACAACACGGTGTCAAGTGATATCCATGGGCACCGCGAGGCAGTGAGTTTTGACACCCCATGCACGCATAGAACTCATCTAAGGTTTACCGTAACAATGAACAGCAAGAATATTTTGAAATCATACCTCTTAGAGAGTAATGTACCTGTGGCATTGTGGTATCGCCACTGGAGGTTCGCAGGGTCCGGGTGCTCAAAAGGTATATGACACTCTGTCTGCAAAATCAAAGTGAGTATTCAATTAACCAGAGCTAGGACTAGATAAATAATAAATCTACGAGAATTGATTGGAACACTGTAGTCTGAAGCGTGGGTCAGAGGTTCGTCCACTAGAAACTGCCTCCAAGCTCTGATATGGTGGCTGAAGCGCTGAAGTCGGAGAGGTAGTCGTGTGTTACTTGCTGTACAGAAATTTAGACACCACTGTATGTGCGGACAGCTCGGAATACTATACTACTGGCAGTCAGTGCTCAGTTGTGTGGCGGGTTGAAGCCGTCGTCTAGGTAATATACTAGTAGAATTGAGCACAGGTCCAGGAGAGAATAAAAATGCAACATACTTCGGAACATTCTCGATGCGGGCAGGCTGTTGGGCGACGGTATAGCTATCCCGCAAGATCAAGCTTTCAAATTTCAAATTTCGAGTCATGTGCATATGACATTGACGCGTGATACTAGAAGTCACGCGCCTGGTCACACCGGGACCCCTGAGGTTGCTCACGCAGCTTTGCCAGACTTTTCAGGGTGACAATACCTGCTGAATCATGATGGGCATTATGCACCCAAAATCAAAATCTTGCGTGAAATTCAATCAAGTTGCATAGATTTATTAATGCAGGGCCGCTGGTAGCATTTGCGCCGGACTAGTATCCACACTGAATTAATAGAATGTGACCCCGTCAGTCAGAACGAGCGGGAGGCATTCAAGTAAGTGGTAGTGAGGTGATACATTGTATACTCGGTGTGAGACAATGCCGACCGGGCCCTCGCGGATGGCAAATGGTTCATTCAGTGAAAATCAGTCTATTAGTACTCGTTATCTCCCGGGTTACCAGTACCTTCAAGTATGTACTCTCTGATACTCAAACCATATAGGAGGATAGTCGTTCCTTCTATGATGACAATGAGTACTCTCTTACGCGTGGTAATTCAAGTTTCTTTTTGGTGGATAAGCGAGTCTATTATATAGTAACTGGCACTGTGCTCTACATAAACGCTTAAGGCGGTACCTTGACACCGTCCATGTCGATTGACAAGCATTCTCAAAATAACGTACGTGAACTAACACTACCCGAGCTGAAAGGTCCTTATATAGCACCTATTTGTGTGCTATGAATATCCTGATATAACAAGTAGACTGAGTAATAAATAAAAGTAGAATAACTGTAGTCAGTAGTCACTAAGCACCCCTGTGCGTACTTCATGATTGTAACCTAAATCACTGTTAACTCCTGACCATTTTGCAATTCGTTGGCGGAGGGCGCTAGCTTGGCTGTAATGAACCTTCCGGGCCAGAATGGAACATAGATCCCGATGGCTACAAGAAGGGGAAGTGTATCGCCTAGGTAGAAGGCTGTCTCGCTTGATGTGAGGCTGCCGTGAAAGCCCTGAGCAACCTCCGCAACGCGGTAGCATGAACGAATCTGCAAAAGCGTTTGTTAAAGGCCACAAGGTTGCTGCATGGAAGACAAACCAGAATGCCGATACAACTGATCATCATGGCAGCGGCGAGTGTTCGCCAGTCGTTATTCCAGTGTTGCTTTGAGTCTTGCATCCAAATGGCCTGCACTTCAGCGTGGACCTTGTAGAGGAATCGTGCGAAAATGACACAAAAGAAAAGGAATGAGGCCAGTTGCACAACGAGGCCAGCCAAAAAGACCTGACAGAGATGATTAGACCTCACTCGGATTGAGACAAACGTGGGTACAAGAAACATACATGAAGTCCTATTAAAGCAGAATTATAAACGGTGGACGTAGTCATTGAGGCTCCTGCCGCCTTTGAAAAAACACCATCAGAGAAGCTCGCTGAAAAAATATGATACCCACCTGTATGACAAAGGTAGTCACGTCGGACAAGACGAAAATGAGGGTGAGCCGTCTCACTGGAAGCAAGACCTGATAGGTGCAGCCAATGTCCCTGGCAAGGCGACCAAGGAGAACGTAATTTGCGGCAATGAAGAAACAGGGCTTCACAAAGGATCAGCAAATGGCCATTATTGCGGTTTGACGCTGACTCACAGATAAAACGATCATCAAGTATTCGACGATGTAAATCACCAGTGAATCAGGATTATAATGCAAAGCGAAGCGAAACCCAAAGCCTATAGCATAAACTACAGCCAAATATCAGAAAGAGCCAACATAAGCATGAGATTGTGACGTGCTGTATTCCCCGATGACCATGGGCCACATCCACCTCGCACCCTTATAGATAATTCGGTAAGTTTGGATGAAAGCGATCAGCAGCACAAGACCTTGAAACAGTGAGTTACGTGCGTCCCCAAGCTTACTGAATACTCACTAAAGGCGACGGCAGTTGGCGGAATGCTAGCGATATATCCAAGGGCATTACACGGGTCGTTGCGCGGGTCTAGGTAAGGATCAGAAGGACATTGGGTAGAATTGCTGGCTGCCCGAGTCGAAGTGACATAAGTCAAAAGAAGAGTCAAGGAAAATAAAGTACTGGTTAAGATGGAGCGAGTCATGAAGAAGATGCTGATGATGAATGCCCTCTATCGAACAAAACTCAGTTTTTATGTTGCAGGACGAAAGAGGGTCCATCAAAATCTTCGCCGCGCAGTGCGACACCGTAGTCATTCACGTAAATTGTGAGGCAGTGAGTGAAGATGACCGCAGTATAGAGCTCATAAGAAGTTCACTGCGGCGAGAACATTTGGTATGTTTATAAAATCAATACCTTACTCGTTATTAAGAATTTATTAACAACGATGTGACCGCGATAAGATTGGTGGCATTGCCTTTTCTTAAGGTTTGGGAGCCCAAAGGGTGTATAATTCCTTGTCTGCAGGGTCAAAGCAGGTGACCAAAGCTATGTCCGAGCGAATGGTGATTTTACGAGGAGTGTTCAAATTGACTGGCAAACTGCGGAGTGTGGGCCGCAAAGGTTCGTCCATGCGGTAGAGACTGCCTCCAGACTCCGATATAGTAGTTGAAGTCGGAGAGTTTGCTGCGTGGTCCTTGACATGCATGATCAGTAGATAAATTCGGAAGTTCCCCTATATATATGCTAACCTCTACGGGATGCTGTTTGCGATTTCGCAATTCTGGGATTGCTGCGGCACTGCCCACTCCGGAGTCGTCTAGGCAACAAAATTCAACATAGGAATGATAGGGGACAGCATACTTCCGACCATGAAGCTTGTTTCTTGATGCAGCAAATGTATGTTGAGCTGACATAGTATTCTGTGCCTGTACTTCAATATTGGCTACGGTGGTATGCAACAAGTTAAGTTGGCGTGTGTGACATTTGACGCGTGACGCTACTGATAACGCGACTGGTCACACCCGCGCCGTCTGGTCCTGTGGCTCCGATCTCCCTTTCGATATTGCCACTATGAACATCTTCAAGAGTCGTAAGTGCAGTCGTTTTTTGGTCTGTCTACTTCTAATATTGTCTGCTATAGTCCTTGGAAAAGTATGGCGTACGTTCGATCTTGCTAGAAGATATGTCCGATGGCCTGACTTTACTACTCTCAGAGGACCCCAATGCTGCCGAAGTCGTCAAGATCGAGATGGGCCAGTTGTACCTTGTCAGGCCGGGGAACATCCGGTCATCAAGGGAATGCATGTGCGAGCTTCTGTCGGTGCATCATCTAATTGTCCCTGATTTTATTGCAGATACAACGAAGCAATAGCGACCATACGCCGTGTCCCCGCACTCGACCACAATTTTCAGCTGGTTATTACACGAGTATATGAAGATGGCGATCAGGAACTTCTCGAAGATGAAGACGAAAGTGCGTAAATCTATTGGATACGTCATCTAGCACAGGCTTTCACACGTGACGAATGATAGCTGATGAAGAGAGGGTGTTCTTGATCAGTGAAGAACTTGAATTCCATTCTGGGGTGACAGACGATGAACCAACTTTCATTTGGCGCGACCTCGATGGGGATGTCGACGAATTGTACGAATTCGTAGCCTCAGGCACCAACGAACCGACTCGTGCATTCTTTGAGACTTGCATGTATCGCGCAATGTACGAGCGCAAGTTCAAGGCAAGTGCGGATAACACAAAGGACTCTGACTTGGATCAGTTTATATGGCAGTTAGCGCTTCACGTCATGTCGTCCTTAATCGCTCCCTGATAACGTTTTCAGACCTGCCACAAAAGCTAGGGGCAAAACCGGTAACCGGAAGTCGCCGAAGAATGAACAAAACTTCGGGGACCTTCCATCAGACACTGTGGACGACTCTACGGTCCAGCCACGAGCGATGCCGAATAAGACGCCAAGTGCAGCGGCGAGGCCATCCTTTGCGAGTTCCTCACTCCCGACAGTTACTTCTCAAGAAGGCCATATTTTCTCCTGGAACCTGGAAATAGAAGGCTTTGTTGCTGAGCGCGAGGAAGTTATTGTTGCCAAAATCGTTGAGCGCACCCCTGGCAACTTCAATTATTGGCTCATAATCTCTGATGAGGATGGCGATTTCGTTTCTGACAAAATTTCTTCGGATATGAATCCTCGCTGGGCACCAAAGACATCATCATTAACATGGAACTATGCCAACGATGGCAGATACGATAGTTGGGCTCTGCAACTCGCATCTACAGAAGCTTACGATGAATTTAAGACGGCCTTCGCTCAATGTCTGTGGGAAACATTGCATGGCATAGAATTTCGAAAGGCCAAGGTAGAAATCTCGCGATTTCAATATTTCAAGTTGTTTACTGTGCACATAGCCCGATGAGCAAGCCTACGTTATCAGTTCAACAACTGAAGATATTGAAATGCACGATGTAGAAAATGATGGCGAAGACGAAGAAGAGGTTGAAACAGAACTTGACCCTGACGAAGGTACGTGGATTCTGCTATTGCATATGGGAAACCCCTGAGTGGCGTCTTAGAAGCGAGTGAGGAGGAAGAAGAAGAAGAGGAAGATGACGCTGTTTCTCCCATGCCACAAGGGGAACGCAACTCGCAATTAACGATCGGATATAAGGGCGACCGCTCTTATGTTGTCCGTGGGAATAATATTGGTGTCTTCAGTCACTCCAGCGACGATCAGGTGAAGTACTATGCGACTATTAGTAAAATCTCTACGCCGCAGGGCAAAGAATTCAAGCCACAGGAGGTAACTTAATTTTAATTCCTTCGCATGATGACAAGTCCTGAGATCATCATCTTTTCCTGCAGGTCATGTTGCACGATCAGGACACGAAGATGGTCCTCAAGAATCCTTTGGATCCTCATTCATTATTCAGCATGGACATTGAACGAGGCAAAGTGGTCGAAGAGTGGAAGATCCACGAAGATATCACAGTCGATCACATTGCCCCCGAAAATAAATTCGCTCAAACTACTCGCGAGCAGACTCTTGTCGGTGCTTCTCACAATGCGCTGTTCAGAGTAGATCCGCGTATCTCTGGCAGCAAGATGGTTGAGAGCCAATACAAGCAATATGTCAGCAAGAATAAATTTTCTGGGGTTGCTACAACAGCCAGTGGCAAGTTGGCAGTGGCAAGCGAAAAAGGAGATATCAGACTTTTCGATACAATCGGGAAGAATGCGAAGACAGCCTTACCACCTCTGGGTGATCCTATTCTTGGTATCGATGTCACTGCCAGTGGCCGGTGGATTGTCGCAACAACAAAGACTTACCTGTTACTCATCGACACTCTTATCGGCGAAGGGAGATACGCCGGAAATCTGGGTTTCGATCGTAGTTTCCCCGCTAACGCCAAGCCTATGCCACGAAGACTTCAACTTCGTTCTGAGCACGTTGCATATATGAATCATGATATCAACTTCTCCGTTGCGCGGTATGTGCCTTTAGGAGTGGCCACGACCTTGACTGACTTTACCGAAACCGTAGCTTCAATCAAGGCGAGGGGCAAGAAGAGAATGCTATTGTCACCGCAACAGGGCAGTATGTCATCGCATGGGACTTCGCGAAGGTTAAGAAAGGGCAGCTTGACAAGTATGAGATTAAGAAGTACGAAGACATGGTCGTTCAAGACAATTTCAAGTTCGGGGATGATAAACAAATCGTGAGTGTTCTGCAGTCTGTAACGGCGCAGCGCACTCATGCAGATCATTGCAGATCGTGGCCTTGCAGAACAACGTCCTTGCAATTAACAAGAAGAACCTCAAACGGCCCACGAGAAATTCGCTTGCGGCCCCTATGTCTAGTCTTCACAGTCGGTCGGGCATTGTGAATAGTCCGTACTAGAGGATGTTTTCTGAGACGGGATTGTTGTGGTAGTTGTATGTATTGCGGATTGTATACCTAACGTCTTCAGTAACGTAGGATAGGTGTATCGCAGAAGTTCTCTAAATATAAATGAAGATGTATATAATATTCCCTTCAAATTCTCTTCTATTCCTTTTCATTTGTAGTAACGTCGGGTTGTCTGTCGCGACTATCAACATATCTCCAAATTCCAAGATGCCACATGATCCGGGGTATCATAAGACTAAATCCAAGGACAACGGTGGTCCAAAGCATTGGACTCCACTGTGAAATATCCCATCTCTCATCTCCGAGAGCCCACAGCGTAACAAAGAGGTGCATACAGTCTCCCATGAGAAGGGGGGTCATGAGAGCAAATATGATCTTCTCTTGGATAGCGAGTTGCGTCGAGAGATTCTTCCGGATGGCCGTTAATACAAAAAAGTTGACGACCCCCATGAGTGCACAGACGTGAGCTAGTTGGATCACAGTCACGATGGATGCCTTTGGAAGACTAGTAGGTGGGGGACTATCTGCTGGCCATGGTGCTTGTGTATTGTGGGTCTGTCAGGTGGTTATCAGATGTTTGATGGAAGGAGGAGACTATCACACTCACTGTTTCAGGGTCGTGCACCGCTCCTATGAACCCGAGTATCGTCAAAGCAGGTTCATAGAACGCGAAAAGGGCATAGTAGAAGTCGGGTATAGCTGATGCCGACGGCTGCATTGAAAACACAGGAGTGTCGACTACAGGAACTGCTGGTATCAAACGCAATATTTTTGCGCGATAGCTAGTGTACTTGAAGTCTGCAAAGCAGCAAGCAGTACTTGTGACGACCAGAATGGGCCCGTGAAATGTCGTGGTGAAACAGTTTGAAATAAGTAGCCCGTGGGCTCAACAACCCAATATTAGTAAAGCCAACAGGTCAGATAAGGAAAAAAGGCGTCTTTCTGAAGCTCACGAGGGTTTTGTCTCAAGTGTCTCTTATATATATGCCCAGCTCGGGGCCCGGGGAAGAAGTTTCACATCGAAGCTGACGGTTTTAAACAACCATTATAGCAGCAGACGTACGTAACAGTTTAATTCGCTTTACTCGCTCTGACGTTGTCTGACCGGCCCTAAAGCTGATTAGTTTTCTCATCGTGCAATTTGCTCATCTTCTTCATCTTACAACTCAGGTCTATCTTAAACCCAGGTGGCCAGCTAATCATTCGATGTTGATCCACTAAATGGCGAGGACCGAGACCATTCTTCTACGAGAAGATGAGGGTATAATGCATGACTTGTTATCCATTTCTGCAAGTCTATGCTTCGCGCCTTTCTAACATTACAATATGCGTTTCAACTGTAGTTTCGCAGTAGACTTGGTACTATGATTAATATCGATCGATTCTTTCATTGATAACCATAAATTGCGACCAGCGCAGCAAGTAGCTTGTTGAACTTATCAGAAATACAGTGCGGTAACTTAGATTCTAGAATACAGACTACTAGGGGAAGCTGCCCGGAGGTATCGGTAATGTCTACTTCGTTCAAACATGAGATTAGCCGCTCAATAGACCGTTCAGCTGTTTTCGGGCTTCTTCCATTACCCTCTCCGCTTCATCGTCCTCCAGTTGATCTTGTGGTGTCTGCCACTAAATTCAGAGTAGAACTACTCAAGACAAGAACATGACCTACTGGTAGTTCCGTTCCGGCTGAGCCAGCTAGCCCAAGTTTCCCGTTGGTGACGTCGAAAAGTACCTTGTCAACTTCAGCGTCCGCCTCTTCTTCTATCTCTTCGTCTTCGTCCATTTGTAACGTGTCTTCAAGCATTTCCTCCATGATCCCAGCCTGTGGTACAAGTCAGATAGTCAGGGGAGCGCCATGGAGAAACAGCACACCTTCGTCATCTCCATACTCATTTCCCGCATCACTTGACTTATCTGGGGTAGTTTGACAAGCGAATTGGATAGTTTCATAATTTCCGTAGACTTCTGCAACGACCCTGTAACTTTGGCCATAGCTGCAGAGTCATAGCATGTAAATCAGCCAGACTTCAAATTAAGAGTATTCCCTCACCAAGCTGCTGCTGTAACTGGGTACCGATCGATCCCAAGCGCGCTTTGCTAACAGACAATCTGTCTTTCTGCTTATTACTGCGGACGACCTCCTTGGCGAGGATTCGCGCAGACTTCACATCTCCCTTGGAAGCAAGTTGCTTCACCGTCGTGCGTGCTTTTGCAGTCGCAGCTTCGAGCTGTACCAGGGATTAGCGTGGGATGTGAGCACTACAGAACGGGGTGCCGACCTGCCTCATCTCCCTGTCCAGTTGTCGGCTTTCTGAACGCAGTTTTCCTTGCCATGCGCGCACTCTATCTTCAGGTGTCGGTCCATAGAAAAAGCGGTTAATGGTCTGCATGAGAGATCGAGTGCTGTAGCTGAACTGGAGAATGTTGCCTCTTTCGGTTTTCAAGGGTAATTCAGGCTTGGCACCACATCATCTTCGGCGTCTCTTCAGACCTTCTTTCCTACATGCAGTTTAAAATTGTCTAGTGGACCATTCAATATCGTGCTACATGGATGTCGCGCTTTGGCGGTTTTGAATCACATACTACCAGATCCGAACAAGCTTGCTCCAGCGGCTAACATGGCGGCTGACTGCTTTGACAGTGCATATAAACACCACTCTTCCGACATGGTCCTCCGGAACACCTTGGCTGCTCCTCACGAGGGTGAAACAATATATCCCGACGCTAGATCCGTGCAGGTTCACTTCGCTCACAATGTCAATCCAACGGCTCCTAAGCCTAATCCTACTTCCGTCCTTCGCCCGTGCCGCCATAAAACCTGTGTCCCCCGGTCCCGGCGACGTGTTCAAATCTGGATCACCCTGTCCCATCTCTTGGGATACCGACCGGTCCGGTTCCACCCAGTCATGGAAAAACGCAACCATATGTATGCAATTACATTACTCGTCCTATTTTTATTTTAACATTGGTTACTATACAGACCTCATGTCCGGCTCCAACCTGAACATGTCGATGGTCGCGACCGTTGTCGAGCACCTAGATGAGACTAACATGACATCGTATAACTGGCTATGCCCTGACGTGGCACCCAATGCAAACATTTACTTTTACCAGGTATGGTGCATAGCCATGCGAGTCCCATATGATCTTTTACTGAAACAGGTACAACAGGTTTCGAATAACGGGGTGCCGACTGGATCCACTTGGACCTCTCGATTCACAGTAAGCATCGTGATAAATCCTCTACGTGTGAAAGCTGATCATAGAGCTTCCAAGATTGCTTCGTATTCTGGCAACACTACTCTCCCGGAAAACAGCAAACAGCCTGGCGGGGCTCCTATCCCGTGGGGGGTCGGATATCTTGTAACCCCCAAGAGCACGAATCCATCGAGCCCAAACGTTTCACCTCGGAGCCGTCCATTACCAATTCCTCCATGCGAAACACTAAAACATCATCAATGCATGACATCCCCGGAGGACGCTTCGTTCTCCCATACTAAAAGTCCCGCTAACCCCCTTCTTCGACAACGCATAGTCTTGCGCCCCACCGTAACAGATCAAGCCAAGCCCATGCGAGAGAGAAGACCTTCAAGCAGAGGTAGTCGTGGAGGCCCTGATCTGAGCGTGCATATCCTATGTGCTCTGGCAACATTGTGGTTGATGGTTTTGTAGATCAGGAACGTAGATATGGCTACAAATTTGTACTACTACCTGCCTGTAAGAATAAGTAATAGAGAAAGAGACTAAATATCTACAGCGCAAAGTAAGAGTGCACTATAAAAAGATAATATGAACAGATCGATAATATGATATACACACAGCAAACACAGATTAAAGTTGCGGTCCAGCCTTGATTTGATTAACCAGTGCTTCCCAGTAACTCCAATCCGAACCATCCACTTCCATCAAACCAGGATCCCCAGTCATTGGATTGTTGTTAGGTCCTATCCAGCCTGAGAATTCAGCACCACCAGGCCCTCCCCAAGATAAAGCAGGCATGCCTGCTGTCGCATCGACTACAGGACCCCCACTGAAAGTGCTGCACCAATGATCCAAGAGAGATTGAGCAGCTGATTCTTCCTCCCCACTCGGACTGCCGCTGCCAGCGGGTGAGTTGAGCGTACCCGTACCGTCGTTAGATCCATTGTGCTGCAGGCGCTGAATAGTGGGGGAATGCGTGTAAGGAGGCGATAACGTGTATACTACAGGCGAAGACGTCGTGGGAGACAAGGTTTTCGGCGACATTGTACCCATCGTGAAAGCTCGCGTAGATGGAGGTAGAACAGAACGAGAAGTCGACATGGAGAAGATTGTGGAATGCTGTTCCCCAGTATGCCCGTTTGTAGGTGAGTTTGCTCTATCCACGCCATGCGATGCACTTTCTGCCATTTGTGATGCGCGGTTCTTAAGGAACTCAATAGTTTTTAGCTCCCTCCGAGTCGTTTCGTCCATTTCGCGCACGCCCTCATGGTCCGCCAGGAAACCGTCCAAAATGGTGTGCATCATGTCCGCATCCTTGCCTTTGGGATGCAAGACTAAATAAATGCCGCTAATCATCGCTGTTTGAAACTCTCTGTAGGCATTGCTCAGAGAATCGCGAGCTTCTTTTGGCATCAAGTCGCGGAAGGCCTTGCGAACTTGGAAATCCTTGATCGAAGACTCGAAGCATGCCCTTCGGGAACGCAGGTAACGATCACAACTCAATTTCCGCAATAAATATGGACGATGGAGGCCGACGCGAACGAACAAGACCTCGGTAATGAGAAGGAAGCGATGAACAGGAATGAATGGTTTCGTCTCGTCGAGGGATGTGTCGGGATCCAATGAAAAGTGAGGTGGTAAGTTGGAAACGAATTTTAAGAGGTCGTCATCCAGCGTCAAGACATCAGAATAATGACTGGGTGACTTGACCTTCTGAAAATGATGTACCATCCTTCCAATAATGGAGGCCAGCTGATGCCTGAGAATAACAAAGGTCATCAGCGTAGGGCTCGAAAGGGAAGGTGGATTGCGAATGACGGCAGGGGAAAAGTCGTCATCAATGTTCAGAGGCGGGAGGGTGGAAGTGTAATCGTCTTGAATAGCGTGAGGTCTTCCAAGCACAAGTGCGTAAGAACGATCGGCGTGATAAAGATATGACCTTCAAGATTCCCTAAGTTTAGATCTCGAGGGGACATTGATATCCTTACCATATGCGGCGTCTGTTTTCAACCTGAGCAGGGTCGAGTCCCTGTGCAAGCTAAATCAAAACAGGCATACCAATAGAATATTTACGAGCTTACCGTAGGTGCAGCATCACGATGGAATCCAAGTGCCTGGGCTGTTCGCACAGCAGCACCCAACTGACTCCAACACTCCGTAATGCGACGATCAAAAGTCAAGAATCGTGCGCTCTAGTGATTATGTCGGAACTCCGCGCAGCATAGATGACCTTTGACACTTACGAGTAAGCGAGTGAGAACGATATCTAGCGAATCTGGTTGGATAGCTGCGGCAATAAGCAGAGAACGTCGAGCTATACATAGAACGGGTGGGCATAAAACACATTATAGTCGATCAGCGACGTACAAGACCAGTAATATCTCAAAGATGTCACTCTTCTTGTTCGTGCGTCACCAGCAAGATGTTCAGGTGCCAATCGCACTGAAATAGCAAGTACCACGAACAACAGCGGAAGGAAGCGTGCATCGTTAGTATTGGCGCCCACCCCGTTGGCGCAAAGAGATGCGTAGGCAGTCCGAAAGTCAGCCTCGCAAACGGGATATCTTGTCCAATTGCTACAATCAAGGGGGGAAATCATCAAGACTGGACAACATATAGGACATCAACTGACATTGCAGCGAAATAATGATCAATAAGTACATCGGAAAACCGTTGTGGAGGGAGCTCCTGAAGGAGCTCCGAGATTTTGTGCGGTGATACACCGCATTCTTGGACAAGACTCTTGAGGTTGTCGGCTGCTGAGGGTTCAGAGTCTTGTCGCACAGACTCGATTATTGATGGGGTCGCTAAGGCTGATTTATGCTCGCCATGGCCAGTTCCATGCTGGCCGGAAGGCCCCGCATGGAGATTAGAAGTGGAATGAGGCGAATCCCATTGTTCTTGAATTGAACTGGCAACGACAACGTTTGCCAGCTAGTGAAAAGGATGTCAGAGAATATAAATAGCATGACCATCAAAACATTCACTTGCTCCAGAACGGAGGCGGGTGCTACACTTCCCGAGGCGCTATTGCCATACCATTTTCCACTGTGGAAGGTACCGCCACTTGGATCCTGCTCATCAGTCATCGAACGATTATCGTCATCTGGGCCTTCAGATGTAGAACTTTGATGTCTGTCTGCACCTGAATAGGAGGACTGAGACGGCGAATTGAAGTACTGGGGCAAAGCCTGCTCGATGATGTGCTCAAGCCTGGCTAAGCGGACGCCCAGATCTTGGTCTGTTTTTCCAGGAGTGTATGCTTTGCAAAGCTCGGGTACTTTTCGTGCTATACACTGGGAAGACTGTCAGACGAACGGGTAATAAACAATATGAAAGAGTCATACATGAGAGCACGGTATCTGCCGGTCGCACTGCCATGGGGAATATTTTAGCAATGTGATTTGAATGAGAGTATGGACATACCTTCTGTTTTCGACGATGACATTCACCACAGGAGAAACTGCGGACAAAATGGTTCTGGGTCGCTCTAAGCGCGCAAAAAAATGACAAACCTGACTCTAGATCTGGGTTTCTTGACCTGTATATGATCGCCATCATCATCCTCGGTCTTCCTCCTCTTGAGACTAGAAGTTTCGGAAGCTGAAGAAGTGTTCTTGACCATGGATGATGGGAGCAGACGATGGCCTTGGAAATTGAATAGAAAGATGAAGAGAGTGACAGGCAAATCAATGACTCCGTCTCCGAGTCCGATCTGCACGTGCAGGTGGCACTGCTGGCATCATGTGCGAGCGTTAGCGAACTCCGGCTATTACCCAGGCGCGACAGACTCTATCCGGATTGTTCATCAAAGGTTATCTCTAATACAATCTATTTACCGCAATGTCCTCAACAACACAAATCGACTCAGACCTAGCGCTCATAATGGAACAACCGTCCTGGAAGAAAACTAAACTCTCCTTGGAAAGACCCTACAAGGATGACAAAGGAGAGCGCATACCTGTCCTTCTAGACATAGCTCCAGATGGAGTGCAAGTATTTGAGCCGTATGTCACGAAACCGTCGTTATATTCTATCGCTAACCAAGCATCAGTCAACAAGATCCCACCAAACTCTTGGGTGAAAACCTGAGACGTATATTCATCGAGCGCGGTGTAGATTTTTTTGAGCGCCAAGATGCCCTGAGGGCTACCGGGGATTTGTCCATTCCTCAGGCCCTGGATACCAAAGACGATAAGGTCGAATCGGATCAGCAGGAGGAAGGCGTCTCGAAAGCCCATATGAACCCAGAGGAATTGTTCAAAATGCGCATGGAAATCATGCCCCAGCTATTGTATGTGATCCTCCAGGCGGCAACGTCGGAAGTCTCATTCGCAAGCTAGTACCGCACTAGGAGAGATGACGCATGCCAGGGAGCTGCTTTCGTTGCTACTGGCTTCTTCTGCACCAACTGATCCATCTCCCGTCCCTGCCTTACCTTCTTCTACATTGACTGCCAGTATTGTCACGAAGCCTTCGCCTATACCTTCAGTGGACGCATTCAATGCTCAGCTGACTATCGGTGGAAAGGACGAGGCTCTGAGAAAGGCTTCGAGTATATTCAAGGTCGCCGCAAACAACCTGGAGAGAAGCCGCCTCCGAGGTCAAAGGTATTGGGTTGATGCACTCAAGACCCGGCGTGCCAATTGGGGATTGGTGCCTGCACCCCTCCCATTTGGTGCACCTACAGGCAAGGGTGCTGATAAAACGTCAAAGGACTTCTTTGTCTCTTTCGGACTAGAGGAATGTAAGCATTTGATCATGTTTACTATCTTGAATTTAACCATGCGTCCAGCCCCAGCTCACTTCAGACGAAGAGCGGTAGGACACATGACAACCTATGAAACTGCATCACATGTTCTTGTGTTTCCTCACCGTCAGCGAGTCCGCCTCCAAGTTTCTCTTATTCTAACCGATTCCAACGGCCTCCTTCGCACTGCTTCCAACAGTGTAACAAGCCTATCGGATGCGTCATTGGAAGATTCTCTTAAAATCGCGCAAAGGGAAATGGTCGAGGAAGAGCTTTTCTCTGTCTTGATTAAAGAGGCTAGCACTTTACCGACAGCGTCAGCACGAGTGGCCGAGCGGCTAATCGTCATCGACGCTGCCCAGGGAATGGAACTCAAGTTTGAACTCGTGAGTTATCATTGCAGACCGAGATGTGGCGCTCAACTTGTGTAGGTTGATGGTGATGTTGTCAATGCTCAAGAATCCAATAAGAGTGATGAACGTTTGTCCGCTACTTGTAATCTCATATACTTCGCACTGCAAGGACTCCTCCTGTCTCTGCATGCGTCGCAGAAATCTCAACGCCTATCATCAGCCAACACACAACATCTACCCTCGGTCTTTCCGAATAAGGCTCCTCTGTTGCAACCCATTATTGATCTTCTTCAATATCAGGTGTTCTGTGACAGAATCAGAGTAGAGCTAGATAAGATGGTTTCTGCCTTGCTCAAGGCCGGTGTTCCGTCCTCGTTACGATTCGATGCTGTAGGTGAAAGTGGGCACCAATTAGTGGAGCATTTTGTCGCCAATGAAACGGCAAGAAGGATTGGGGGCGAGGCTCTTCTCCGTATCGACGTCAGGCAAGTTGCGATCTGGAGCACATTCCTGAGCATGTATTTATGTTCCTCGCAACAGGCAAACTCTTCGTTTGACATTCCTTTCGCCATCATCTCTTACAGCCCATCTGCCACAAGCAACGCTACCGATTGCATCCATCCCTCAGCTAGTGCAGCTTCTTTCAGATGAAGTCGAGAGGTGCCTTCTCAACCGGTTGTGCGAAGTGGGCTTACAAGTTTGTGAACGCGTCGGTGCAACATGGTTTGTCGATTTCGTCAGCGGCAAAGCGGTCGGAAGGTGGGAAGGAAATATATTGTGAGCACATTAATATTGTTCTTCCTCTTTCCAGCACAGACTAAGGAGATTTCCAGGAACTTCCGCGTCATATTCGACAAGGACTTTACCATCCACTCGTCGGCATACCGTCTGAACAGAGCGAGTCACCAGTTATCATTACTAGAAACATACACTCCTGAGACCTCAGTTTCTCTCGTAGCATGGCTTCAAGAGCTGCTCGAGAAGACCATATTAGAATCTTAAAATGTTTTGGCCAATAATCGTGTTGCATGATATCATAAGCATATGACCTACTTGGCTGAGTGGATGAAAATGTGGATGCAAAAGTAAGTAAAGGCATGAAATTTTTTACTCGTCGTCGTCGTCGTCCTCGGCAGCAGCAGCCTCGCCTCCTGAAGCCTTGAAGGCCTCGATCTTTTCCTGGATGCGAGCTCTGCGCTCCTCCAGCGTGAGTTTATACGTCTTGTACTTCAGGCTCTCCGCCTTCCAGTCCTTGGTCTTCTCCGAAGGCTTGAAGGTGGGGTCCTCACGAATGGCGGCATACGCGTTGGTGTAGATTTCCTCAATATCTTCTGAACCAATATCATCTGCAAGATATGAAGAAAATTGCTTCTTGAAGCTGAGCAAAAACCATAAATGTTACATTTTTGAGGTTCATATGGGATGGCTTACCGCTCGTCATCCTCCTCCTCGAGCGACTCCATGTACTCAGCAACGTGGCCAGCAAAGATGTACTTCTTGAGCACTTCGCTATCGAGAGACTTGCTCTCTGGGTCGTACCCAGGGAAACGCTTGTCAGAGTGGGGGATGAATATACCACCGTCACTTGCGCCCTTCATTGCGCCGAAAACACGGTGGCCAGTGGAAGTGCGCTTAAGACCAACATCGAGGTAACACTTGAAAGGTCGTGGTGCATCATCCTCATCCAATGCCTCAGTCAACGTCAGGGAACCGTCGGGCTCCGCGACACCCTCATATTTATCGGCAAGACCCAGCTTGGCCAATGCACGGCGAGCGCATAGAAGACCAGTTGCGTATGCTAAGGTGTTCATCAAATATCATATAGTAGATTACGTGAAAGAATCATACCAGCAGTCCAGTTAGTGAGACCGTGGTTGATTCCGTATCTTGGTAGCTCTTGTGACCGTGCAGCGGTCAAGACGAAGTCGCCCTGTAGACGTGCATACACGATCTGGACGATGATATCCCGGTTCGTGAAGCGCACTACTAGACGGTATTTTGGGGCATTGCTTCCGAGTTGTTAAAACATGTCGCTGTTCTTCATGCTGCGATAACTTACTACTTGTTTTTAGCCTGGGTCACGAGGCGTTTGCGGGCATAGTCTAAGTAGACCTTAGCACATGCGATCAAGAAATCTACAGGATGCTCACAGTCGGTCTTTCCCTCTCTTCTACGGCGGTATTTCACTTGAAAGCGGGAGAAGTAGGCATCAGACTTCACTTTTTTGACGAACGGCATCTAGTGGGAATTGTCAGTGAACTGCACATATGCATCCTGGGCAGCTATAGGCCATCCATCGGAAACCGGCAATATTTGAACAATCCGATTGGCATGGCCAGTTGTTAAAGACTAGACGGTGCCCCAGGACGGTGAACAGTCATAAAGACATACCTTGAGGGATCTTGAGGACGGCGGGGACAGCGAGTACACCCTTTCAATCAAAGTTTCTGTGGTTGTTTACATTTGTTGATTTGTTTATTTAATTAGTTATTTTTATTTTTATTGATTATCAATTTGGTAAGTGAGGTGATAGCCCATAACCCCGGCTTCTCATCGTACCAACATCAACGCATTATGGACTCACAGTATTCTCAATTCAGCCAACAGCAACAGGCTTATGATGTTAATCCTTACCACCAGCCTTATCAAGGTCCCATGTATCCTTTGCCCGGATCTTCGTCGAACCACAGCGCACCTGTTCCAGCGAATGCGTATGAATATGATGTCGGCATACTTGCGCAACAGAGTGTCTATGTTCCTGGGGCTATGATCGACAAGCGTGGAGGCGCTGGTGGGAAACTTGCAAAGGGTGGAAAGCGCACCACCGTGCTCCGTAAGGGTGGTGGAAAGGTCTGGGAAGATCAGACTCTTCTAGAATGGAATCCATGTAAGTGTGCCACTTGATACGAAAGTCAGCCACTGACAAACTTTATCGTAGCTTGGTTCCGCTTGTTCGTAGGAGATCTTAGCAACGATGTCTCCGATGATGTCCTCGCGAATGCCTTTAATAAATACACATCTTTCCAGAAAGCTCGTGTCATACGCGACAGGTTGAGCCAGAAGGTGTGGACGTTTCCTCTTGCTCTACAAATTTTGTTGACAAAACATTCTTAGGCTAAGTATGGTTTCGTCGCCTTTTCAGATCCAGAAGATTTCCTCAAAGCTTGGAAAGAGATGGATGGTGAGAAATACCCTTGTCCAATTCACCGAAATCTCGCTCAGCCATATTTCAGGTAAATATGTAGGTAACCGTCCAGTCAAGCTCAAGAAGGCGGATGATACTGCTATCCGACCTGTAGAGATAGGGCACCGAAAGGCTAGACAGCTCGAAAAGGACTTGAAGAAGAATAGAGGCAAACCATACTAATCGGTCGCCGCTGTGCGTTTAGACGATGTGGCTGGTCTACGAAGACATTGCCAGTATGTTTTATTTTTTGATACTGGAGCGCAGCTCACCGTGTTATGTATTTCAACTATGAAATTATGATAATTGGACACCGTGCATACTAAAGCCACACGATCATAGTGGGTACCGTCCCTTGATTCCTCACGCACCCACTTCGTTTTCTGCATTTTACAGTCAGGCCTGCTATACGCACTTTCTTCAAATTGCTTGTTGAGCAAGTATATGCAATGTAAGTACGGGGGACGCTGTCGTCCGCTGTGATAAGCCGGATGCCCATCGCTGTAGAAATTTTGTATGCGTAGACTTATAGTCACCCCCTACAAGAATGAAGACAGTTGTAAAAATCTATTTTCTTTGAAGCTTCTGAAGAGCAATCACCAAGCAATCGACTGTGACTAGAGCACGTGATTTTATGCATGATGGAATGTACATGTCTTTACGCATTACTAGCTAGCCATTAGCCAGATACTGAATCATGGACATCGACAAGCTTTTCAAAGTAAGGGGTTGTCTTGCACTCTTCCATGTATGTTGTGATATTTACGCGCCCCAGGTACCCAGGCTTCCTACGAGCTCAAAGCGGAAGATGCCAGATAATCCTACCCCGGAGATGCTAAAGAAGATGCGTCTCGATACTCCCTTGAATGAGGACTCGGTGGATTCGGCCATGGACGTTGAAATCCCTGAAAGCAGCTCGGCTCCTCGCCGACAGTCGCGACGCGCAACTGTAGAAGACGGGGACGACAAAATGGTTGACACCTCCTTTGCTCCAGGGGGTGACGCGGACTACTTTGTCGAAGAGGATGAAGAAGGGCGGTTCTACGGAGGAGGACTGACTTCGGAACAGAAACAAATTTTGAGTATTTTTGAGAGTGCTGAAGGAGAAGGGACAACGGAAGACGTGAGCGCATACAAAATTCTCGCGAAATGCGTAAATATTGACACGACGTGAAGCCGGAAGGAATATCGATCACAAGTATAAGAAGAACGCTACTGAAGTTTGAACGAGCTGCCAACAAAAACCAAGACCAACGCTCGAAGTACCCGGATGACCCGTCAAAGTAATTTACATTGGACGTCTTATGGTCCTAGGACTGATTATACGTGCGCTGTTGCAGGTTCATCGACTCTGAAGCAGACCTCGATAGTGCGCTTAAATCTCTTCTATCTTTGGCACAGTCTCCTGTCCTGGCCTACCCAGAACTCGTGCGTTCGGGTTCTGTCAGTTTACTCATTGGACTCCTCAGCCATGAAAACGCCGATATTGTCATTGATGTCGTTGATGTGATCCATGAGCTGACCGACGAAGATGTTGGGAATGAGCTAGAAGATGAGGAGGAACAAGAGGAGGCGCAGGTAGCGCTGAAGACCCTTATTGAAGCCCTGGTTCGTTCCCATATTTCGGCATGGTTCTGTTCTTAAGTGCTATGTTTTCCACCCCACGCAGCTAGAGAATTCAATCCTGGAGTTGCTCGTTGATAATCTTTCGCGTTTAAACGAGACTGAAGAATCAGACCGACAGGGTGTTTTCCATATTCTCGGTATTCGTGCGCAGAATCTCTCGTCATTCGTTACTGACCTACGTTCCAGGCATATTTGAAAACATACTTGGCTTTAACCCTGACCTTTCCCTTATACTAGTGTCGAAGACCAAGCTGATGAATTGGTTACTCAATCGCGTCCAGTCCAAGACTCATGACGAAAACCGTGGCTATTCCGCAGAATTGCTTTCTATTCTTTTACAGAACAATGCAGCGAACCGTCAAGATTTTGGCAAGAAAGACGGCGTCGAGATCGCTCTCAACGTTCTTTCTGTAAGTTGCAGTTGACTATCACAAGCTTTAATATTAATTCCTATGATATAGCAATTCCGAAGACGTGACCCAGTTGATGCAGACGAGACCGAATTCATGGAGAATTTGTTCGACGCTCTTTGTTCTGCGTTGGCCGAGCCTGAGGTCAAGTCTTTTTTCCTTGCGAGCGAAGGTGTCGACCTCATGCTTCTTATGATGAGGTGAGTGCGTCCTGGGGATGTCGATGCAATGCTAACTTGTGCCGTTGGTAGAGAAAAATTGCAATCGAAGTCGAGAGCAATCAAAACTCTCGACTATGCGATGTCTGGCCCAGCAGGCACCGCCACTTGCGCAAACTTTATCGAGGTCCTTGGACTAAAGACGCTCTTTGCTACTTTCATGGGAAAGGTATAGATGCAGTGTTCTCAGTACGGTTCAAACTGATTAAGCCTACTCCGCAGGGCTCAAAAAAATCTAAATCCAATGCACCAGCAGCAGCTTCCGAAGATATCCCACATATCCTTGGCATTATCTCCTCAATGTTTTCAAACACTCCATCAGACTCTCCAGATCGAATACGTCTGCTTGCCAAGTTTGTGGAAAATAATTATGAGAAAGCAGATAAACTACTCGAGGTGCGGGAAAATGCTCGTAATCGTCTGAAAGTTGTGGACGCGGAGATCGCGGCGGAGAAAAAGGTATGTGCCATGTAATATTCACTAATGAACATCCAGTCCGAATGCTGAATGCGCAGGAAACCATTGCTAACGGTGGTGAAATTGAGTCAGAAGACGAGGATCTGTTTTATCTGCGCCGACTGGAGGGCGGACTGTTCACACTGCAGACCGTCGATTATATCCTCGCGTGGGTAGTCATGGAGGACGATGGAGTAAGCAACATTTTTCGATAACCTGTGATAGCTAAGTCGAGCAACACTCCAGATTCGCGGCCATATCACACAAATGCTTGAGCGCAAGAACCAGTCCTTGAAAGATATCATCTCAACCCTTCAAATATACCGCGACAACCTCGACGCTGACACACAGAGCAATGGCCTAGCCACTGATCACGCACCAGAAGGTGGAGCACTATCACAAAAGGAGATCCTTCAACATCTCGTCGACTTTCTGCATGAATGTTTATAACGGACACGGGGCATTAAAATATGTAGCAATATATGCGTAGAGTACAAGTCGTGTGGCCTGCTATGCGGCAGTCAGTGTAGCGGACGCGAAAATCATTTCGAGTGCGCCTTTTGTTTTGACCAGTTCTTTTTGGAACCGAATCTCGGCAAGGACTTTCTTTCGAAGTCGCATGAAGAGTGAATCGATGAGAGGTGACTGTCCAAGGACCGGCGTGTACATCTCTGCATAGATACGTCAAGCCAGCAAAAATGCAAGACGATCAATCACGTACCGATGACCAGACTTGAGACGTCGGACACCATTTCACCAAAACGGGGATCAGTGACATGCTTCACGAGAAGACGCAAGACTGGTTCCAAAAGAACATCATCTCGACCTGCCAATGCGCTCCGAAGGCCGTCACGATGTATCAGTTCTTGTATCAGAGAGAAAGCCGTTGTCGGTGGGACGTTCTATAAGGCGAATCAACATTGAATTTCCCAACTATGGTGAACGAACATCACCTTTCTGAGCACCGAATCCAAAGCTGCTGAATATTTAAACCCTTTCAAAAGCCTGTCGTACTCTTTCAGACGCCTTGCTCTTCTGCTTTCGATTCTCAACTCGTCCACATCTCCGGTAGGTTTGGGCTTGATTTTGGACTTTGTGCGTCCTTGACCAATTACAGGAAGGGTACCTCCTAAGAATGTCTCAAAAGCTCCAGATTTTAAAGCAGTAGCGAAGGGCGGATCCGCGCCTTCTGAAGCTTTTGGCTGTCTCCGTCTAACAGAGAGCGTGCCATCTGACATTCCCGCGGCGATATGAGTTTCATCCGGCTGCACTGCTGTTAGCAAAGGAGCATGACAGGAAACTATAACTTTACATACGGAAATGGCAAGACAAAGAACAGGCGCGGGGTATCGCATGGTATGCACGACCTTGTACGAGCTGACATCATAAACCTTCACCATATGATCCAAACTCCCCGTCAACAGACGACCCGCAGACCCATCAAATGCTAGCGAGGTAATAGTCTTCTGATGATTCGAAAATGCACGTAAACAACGGCCGCCAGCGACCAAGTCCCAGAGGCGCAGGATAGGACCTGCGGTAGACAAGGCCATTGTACCAGATGGGAACATTTTGACTTGCTCGACTGGTACTGCACTCGAGGCATCTCCGCCGCCCATTATCATCTCGCATTGGCTGGTCCGCGTGTCGAATAATCTCATGGTTGCATCATAAGAACCAGTGAGGATGAGGTGGGGATTCGAGGTCGAAACTTCACCAGAGCGGACATAGTCGGTGTGTGCATGGAATGTGACTACTTCAGTTTGTGATGGGACGTCCCATAATTTTACAGTGGTGTCGTCTGAACAGGAGAGTACTTGCGTGGGTGCGAGGGCGGAAAATTTAGTGACGTGTACTGGCTGCTTATGCGAGTCCAGGGTACGAAGGATGGCGCGTGAATTGATGTCAAAGACCTGCGAGCAGATTGATTAGGGATGTGAATATACCGTGGGTATGCGTCCATACCTGCACGAGACCTGTATCATCACCTGCAACGACGAGCTTGCCGTCAGGACGGATGTTACCACTGCGTGCAACATCCTTGAAGCGCGAGATTGTCTTTGTCACTTTCTGGGTTCGGGGTGCATAAATCTGAACACGCGTTGCTGCTGTTACAGCATACCTATGAGGTTTAGAAGGAGAGAACTGGATAGATGTGACTGGTGCGTATTCCTTGATAAATACCGGGTGTTTGAATTGACGCCAATATCTTGATTCTGGACTATGCTTAGCCGCAGCTGGCCGAGCATGCCTCTGTACGACTACCGGCTGATAGTCCATGTGGTAGCATGAAGCAGATGTCGGGATTCGGATGACAATATTTTTGTATCCCACGAGATGATGATCTACTGATCTTGTCGGTGTACATAAGACTCGAAGATCTCTCTTACCTCAACTTCTATCTCCCTCGTTGGAACCCCCCTTTTTCTTTTTCTCTACACCTTTATTATATCTGTTCGAAAATGCTTCTTTACGAAGATGTCATCTCCGGTGATGAGATGTTTTCCGATGCGTTTCCTATGTATGCTCCAATCTTGGCGCTGGAGCCTATCATCATATACTGACTACCCAAAAAAAACAGGAAAGAGGTGGATGGCATCGCCTATGAAGTAGATTGTCAGATGATCACACTCAAGGAGGGCAATGTCGATATCGGTATGCGTCCGATCGAAAGAAAAAGGAACATGGCTCATCTACTTGATTTTGTAGGTGCTAACGCCTCAGCTGAAGAACAGGAAGAAACACTCGAGGATGGGGCGATTACAGTTAACAATATCGCCCATTCCTTCCGTCTTCAAGCTACCGCTTATGACAAAAAAGCATATCTTTCTCATCTCAAGGTATCATATCATATTATTGCTATACCTGTGGAGATCGAAACTGATGAGGATATTCATGTTAGGCTTACATGAAGGCTGTAGCGGACAAATTGAAAGACCCTAGTGTGGTTGATGAATTCAAGACCAAGGCAAATGTCTTTGCCAAGAAGATAATCGGTAATTTCAAAGACTATGAATTTGTACGTTGTGCTTTGCCCCTTATACGCGTTGACAAACAAAATTTCAGTACACTGGCGAGAACATGAACGCTGACGGAATGGTAGCCTTGTTGAACTACCGGGTGAGTTGCGATGTTAGAATAAACAATGTCGTATTCTCAATGGTTTCTCATCTCAGGAGGATGGAGTCACCCGTACGTGTTTTCTGTCAAGTAGCGTCATCATGATCATCACACCTCAACAGCCTACTTCACCTTCTGGAAGCACGGTCTCAAGGAAGTCAAACTGTAATACTTGTTTTCAAATCGATAGCTTCCATCACTTTATATTAGAGCAATCGTACGAGTCGCTCCACTTACACCCCCATGAATATTGAATGCATGCAAAAGATGAGATAACAATAGAGGTAAGACCACTGCGCACAAATTACAGTTCATCATGAGCCTCCCGCGGTGCCTCAAACGTGGCCTGCGACTCGTTTTCAGGAGCCTTGACAGAAGGCTTCAAGTTGTTCTTGGCATGCTCCTGCACGTACGCAATGAGAGATTCCAATTCCCGGTCCCCGTTATATTCAAGGAACTCCCGCGATCCTGCAGGCTTGAATTTGAGGGTGGGGAATCCGCTGATACGGAATGGGGCTGAAGCTGGAAGATCATTTTCTGTGGACTCCATCTTTGCACTGCAACGATGGATCAGTTTTGTGGACAAGGTTGGAGGAAATGTGGACGTACACGACCAACTGATCTTTCACGTCAGCAAAGTGATCACCGAGGGAATCCCAGATGGGTTTCAAGCGCTTGCAGTGACCGCACCTAAACAGGTCTTGAATGGCATGCGTGATGAAATATGGCCAAAGCAACGCACCATGTAGCATAAAATTCAACAAACACATCCTTGGAATCATCATACATAACCTCATCGAACTGTTCACTAACGAGCGTGAACACGCTCTCATTCTGACTCTCAGGAATCGGCTGGCTCTTGAGCTTAGGAAGAAGCTTCCCAGCGAGGTACTCGCCGACCATAGCAGACACAGCCTCAGCCTCTATAGGCTTGCTCTGGTCATAAGGGTACTTGAGCTGATCCTCCAGGTTCTGAATAACGAAACTCGGCCATTTGGGTTCAGCAAGGTTCAAAGCCTTTGCGTGGTCGCCAAACTTGGTTGCGTCTATCCAAACAAAGTGGATCTTGCCGTGGTACTTGGCAGCAACAGGCTTGAGAATAGCGAGCGTCTCGTCTTTCTTTTCGTCTGTAGGGTCCAAAAACAAGTATGCGATAGGTTTACCGCTGCCGGCGTACATGGCATACGTTTCTCCGTTCACCTCACCAAGGATAGGGATAGACAGCTGCTGAACCCATGCTTCGAGTTCAGCGGTGGTAACTGCAGACGGCGGGTGCGGGTACTCGGTGGTGTGTTCATCAAAGTTGCGGTAGACGACGATAGCGGGAGGAGTGACGCCTGCGGCTGCGATAGCTGCAGCGTCAGAGGTGATACCAAAGAGGTACTCGTCGCGGAGCTTTTCTGCTGTTGCGCTGAATTCAGGTGCGGGGGCCTTTGTGGTGGAGGAGACGTAGGCGAGGACAACGAGCTTATCGGCGTTTTGGAATTCAGCGAGGTTAGAGGCGGTGACGTCAGAAACGGCAGGGAGGTTTTGTCTGAGGGTGATGTTAATAGGTACGAATAGGTGACAGAAGGGTAGAGTATACTTGAGCATGTAGCTGATGATACCGTCTGCCTTTCGGGGACCGGAGTACTCGGCGGGTTCACCGTTGCGGAAGACTTTGAGGGTGCTATGGAGGGATGGTCAGTGCGCTAGAGAGAATATTTCGAATGGTATGGACGTACGGGTAACCCTGGACGCCATGGGACTGGCAAAGGTCTGCCTGGTCGACACAGTCGACTTTGGCAAGTTTGATGTCTTTCCCTTTGAGTGTGGTGGCTGCCTCCTCGTAGTGGGGAGCTAGAGCTTTGCAGTGGCCACACCTATGGTAAAAGTCGGCGAGAATTCACGTAAAAGGACGATGAAAAGGTACCAAGGAGCATAGAACTCGACTAAAATCAAAGGTTCTGAGTTGACAGCAGAAGTAAAGGTGTCCTTTGTAAGGACGAGCACATCGGAGGACTCGGCAACGTCAGCTGATGCCAAAGAGGCAAGGGCAATGGCAGAGGCCACGGACACGAGAGAGGGAAAGCGCATTGAACGATGCGTTGGTGAGAGTTAGCTGCCAATAAATTGTGACGAAGCAGGTTTTATAATGCAAGTAAGTGTATACGTGTCACCTTGGCGGTGTAGTATTGCCGATATAAGACTGCTATGTGGCAAGACCTCACTTCCGAAAATCTGGCGGGATAATCTGTTGTGGAACAAATTCGAGCGCCACGTAATCTACTGTATAATTTAGAGTCCAAGCAACTGTATCAACCAAGTCTGATATATCATGCGATTAGAGTAAGACTATGTACAGCGAGGGCCAGGCTATAAGGTGGACAGGTCGAAATCACTGCCAGTGGTTCGACCACTGGCATATCGCCTTGTGGCTGAGACAAACGGACGTGGCTGTGGGAAATCAGTTACGGGAAACGTATGTGGGCCAGAGGTTGGAGGGGGAGAAGGTACTGGTGAACAAGGATGAGTTATGGGCAACAGTAGAGGACAGATACAACTTACTTTTGCGAGATGGAGGTGTCCTAGCACTACCATTGATGGAGGGCCGTTCGACAGCTAAAGCGGGAGGCTCAGTGACTGGTGTTGAAACGGTACGGGGTCTAGGAGGAGCAGATACAGGAGGTCTTGGAGGAGCAGATGGAGGGGGAGGTGGACGGGAAGGTGGAGGGCGATTTACAGGTGGAGTTTGTGGACGGGAATCAACTTCTGATAAAGGTCGGACACGAGCTGGAGGAGCAGGTGGACTGTCTGATACAGGTGGCCTACGAGAAGGTGGAGGGGGGACTGCTCGAGCAGGAGAACCAGCGGTCGACAAGGGTCTGGCTGGGGGAGGAGGAGGGGCTTTCCTTGCAGGTGGAGCTGGAGGAATGGGACGTGGTACTGGACCAGTAGGGGGAGAGGAAGGACGAGCTGGTGAAGAGACGGGACGAACTGGTGAAGAGGCAGGACGAGCTGGTGGTGGTGGTGGTGAACGGGTCGGGAAAGCAGGAGGAGCGGGGGAAGCTGTCCTTGCAGGTGGTGGTGGTCGACGCGGTGGGGGGGGAGGTGTAGGAGTATTTCTAGAAGGAGCAGATCTTGAAGGTAGTGAAGGAGCGGATCGATTTGGCAGTGACGGTGCAGATCGATGAGGCATTGAAGGAGCAGATCTATTTGGCAGTGATGGTACACTTCGGTTAGGAAGCACAGGTGGTGCAGGTGCAGGCGGGGGACCTCTAGGAGGAGGAGGTGCTGATGGTCTAGCAGTAGGCGATGGTGACTTTCCTAGCGTAGGAGGTTAGTTCAAACATTGAAAGATGAATGAAACCGGCATACCCAAATTATGACTACTAGGCTTCAATTTAGGAACACCTCCAGCAAACAATCCACCAAGTTGAGGTCCTCCCATCGATGGTACTCCACGTGAAGCAGCAGCAGCAGCAATACCGCCGCCGCCACCACCACTTGCCTTTCCATCAATCAAAGGACTACTTCGGTCATGTGTTTCGGCTTTCTTCAGCCTCTTGCCGGCCTGAATCTGTTTCAAAAGCTCAGAAGACGCCATCGTAGATCGTGGTCAGTGTGTGTTGTCACTCCGGAGTCACAGTTCACGTGTCACGACTCATCGGTGAGTCCTGCCGCCATAGCCAAGAACTTTTCTCGAGGTCACTGATTTTGGCAAGGGAATCTGGAAACAACCGCCCTATAGCTAAAGGTAAACCATAGCGAATAAGGTCGCCGAATTATGGGCATCGTTCAAGTTGGTTGTGCAATATCAGATTTGGTATATATCCACATAGATTGAAATCATCAGCTGGGTGGGCTACAACAGTATTACAAAAAACATTTCAACAAGATCTCGACAGCGAGTAATATTCATTCCTGATTGTCACATCAGCTCTCTCCGTCGATATGGACGGTCCCGAGGATCAGTAGACCGACATTGCTCGATAACTTCTCCCCTAATATTTTTCAGGGGGCACAGCATAACGATCGGGAAGGCTTTTACAAGCTTCTACATAGCCCAGATGATGGCTACATCATTCCGAAGGTCATAATAGGGAGTATTATCGGTGAGGACCTATAAGCGGAGCTGATGACATCAACCAGTCTCAGAGGGAGGAATTACCCCAGACGTACCTGCAACATAATACCGCGGAACGAAAAGATGTCGCTCGGCCGTGCTGGAGTTCCATCCTGGTCACTGGTACCGTACAAGAAGCTCGGGCGTAGATAGCCTTTGATGTTGGAAATTCAGGAAGCCTGAGAGGCATTTATTACCTCTGAATGATTTATCAACACTAGATCGAAGGCAGCACTCATCCTTTTTGGATTGTAGAAACGAGGGAGAACCCTCCCAGAGATGATAGGCTTTCAGCCCAGTTTCCCATAATAAAGAAACCGGGCAGCCCCGTGTGAACCTCTTTGAAGTAGTGCCAAGGGTGTGACGTCGCAAGGCATCGTTTCGAATACAGGTGATGATAAATAAGGTTAGAACGACGTTCTTTGAGTCACCACTGTTGCATGCCACGAAGACAGTGTCTGATGGGGTTGATAGGCGGTTACAATTGGAACAAATTGAGGATAGTGATGTCGCAAGGCGCCGCCGCCGCGTTGTCACAGTTGATCTGGCTGTTAGACTGGGAACCGGTAATGCTAAATTCGTGAGCAGGTAAGAACCTAGAGTTTCTTGAAACACTTTATATGTCGTGCAATATATCGCTCCGAGTAGCCTTGGTACAGTCGGGACGGTATTGGGTTAATGTTCTTGCCAGTGAAACTTGGTCACGGTGCACTGGTATCGTTGCTAAGGTCACCCCGTGACGCGTCAGTCACGTGTCTGTAATGCTGTCCGACTTTGTTGGTTACTTGTCTCCGTCAAACGGGATTTCTTCATCAAGGTATAAGCTGTGCAAACATTTCGTGCAATGTTCACCCCACCATTTCATATGATTGTGATAAGTGATACGAAAATGTTAGAGAGCCTATAGGCACCAAGAAGTGAAGGAGTGAATATTACAGTATACTAGTATTGGCGACATGCTAGGATGTTGGGGCAATAATATCAAACTCCACCAAAGTCACGAGAATAAGTAAGCTCGAAAGTGATTCATAAAAGGTACATGTTGAAGTCAGTAATATAATCTACCTACCACTAGCTAGTACTGAGACCCTATGATACAATGGTAGTAAACTTTGCTGATCCTGAAAAGAGTTTGAACACTTACTTCAGTGAAACCAAAGGAACTTGTTATTGGTGTAGTGTTTGAGAGAATACCTTCAGAGGGGGATGTGGTCCACAAATGTGCATTCCGCCAGCTGGTAGTGTTACCGTGGCTCTGGCTTATTGCTGGTTTTAGCTGTGGCCTGAGCTATGAATAGCTGAACTGGCAAATGGTTCCAGCTTATATAATTTACAGTCTGACTCAGCTTAACTAACTGCAGTTAAGTCAAATTAAGTGGTTAAAACCGGCTCAAATATATTTTTAAACTATAAGTCAAAAATAGAATCTAATATTAGATAAAACTAATTAACAGGACTCGATTGCTTTGACCGTATTGACTAAGGCCTGACAGATGCTAGACTCATCGACAACGATACAGTTCTAGGGGTTGATATGAACAATACTGTGTGACCTCAAATGAAAGATATGACATACATGCTGGGGAGATCGCTTGACAGTCGTCCTTGATGTGCAATGTATGCACATATTGTTACGCACTCAAATAGATCTGTTATGCGGAGCCCTAAGAGGGGCTTCGTCCGCTAACATTCGTGACGTAACCGGAAGGATCCGGTATAGCAAGTGAGTCTGGCAACGATGAGTCGGCAGTGATCACAGTACGCGCATGTCACGTGACTTCTAAGACGGATGTCTATGAAGTCACTCAAGGTAAGGACAGTCTTGTCCAAACGATGAGGTTGATTGAAGTAGACTCAGTCGCGATGAGCAAGAAAAGATACTAGAGACTGAAGCCAAAGGGGCGTTCAGAGGGAAGTATGTTCCAGGGAAGATTGAGTAGATTCAAGTTAGAGAATCTAGTACAGGGTGACTGACTACTTATACTAAGTGGAGAGGGTTAAGGGCAAGGCTACTGCATAGTAGGTAAGGGTAGAGGGGAAACAAGAATGGTATAGGTGCATTGGCAACAGAGCCAGATTAGTGGTGGATGGTCGAATGTGGAATGAGACCGAGAAACATTGGAACGGACCAACAGTAGGAATACAACGTGCGGGAATCTGCAGTCAGAAGAGAACAGGAAAGGAAAGCCACATTGGTGGCATGTATTACAGGCATCCGTAGCACCTACAGGAGCCCCAGCTCTGCCTATGCCTGCCCCCGCTCTACTAGACTCCCCGCGCAACGGTGCGCCGCCTGCGCCTAGAAAGACAGCGGTCTGGACTGCTGTGACGCCGCCCCTGGCGCTATGACCCCGCTGTTACGACAAACGGTCGTGTGCGACTAGGATAATCTAACAGCGACAACCACAACAGTGGTACCGAGTGCTGAGAGTCGTCGGCCTTTACAGACAAGCAAAGGTTGCGTACTCGAACGTAGCTCGTGGTGGTTAACGAGGGGTTACGCTGAGATGATAGCAGGGTTTACAGACAGTGAGAGGCGTCACTGAAGGTACGAGTCGATGTCGAGCAGGTAGCTTTAGCGGGACAAGGAGTTCAAGGGTAAACCTAGTAAGATTAAAGTAAGGAACGTCTACTTTAATCTTCGACCTTATATAAGGCTACTCTTCGTATCTAAGCTCAGCCTAAAGCTGGGTTCTAATCTGCTTATCTACATGAGTCAGAGATAGCGTCCATGAGGTGGGCTTCTATCGTAGATAGGGTCCATGCGGTACCCTTCTATCAGTACATGAGGCAACACGAGGCTTGCCTTCTATCTTGATAACATAAATAGGTCTTCTAGACCTATGTCGTCATATCATGTCACGTGTGGTCCAGACCGCTTATCTAAGCCGGCAGTTGCCGCTTATCGTCTATCATCATCTCTCGTCATCTATCGTTTATAGAGCTTGGTGAGGCTCCGGTATCGTCTATAGCCGTGCGGTGGCAGAGGGCTGTCTGCTGGCGGGGGACTCATGCCATGTTACTGTAACACCCGCCCCTGGCCTAGATGGCCTTGTACCTGGTCCATGGAGGCTGTACACCTCATGGTCACCCTAGAGCAGTGCATGTATACCACATGTCACTTCATGAAGATCCGGAGCGCCCTTGGCGCCTCATGTACTTATGCGCAGTCGCACTTGGTGCTGCATGCTTGATCAGAGGTTAAGCCTCATGTACCTTATCTGACCCTCATGTCTTGTTATCATAGATCCTAGATATACTATTGATTACAGACTGAGCTTGAACACTTACATGTAGCACATATAAGTAGACAGATTATTGTACTTAGACTTTACTTTAATCTACTAGGTTCATCCCTGAACTTGTTCAACTAAGCTTCCCAGCTTCCTTGCATAAGACCGCACTTCTAAGTCGCTCCCTTACGACTTAGCACGTATCCGCTAGCCCTGTATCTCGACGAGTGCCGTCTTACCGAGATCACCGGAGGAACCCTTGACGTTCCGTCAAAGCCGAGAACCACCCTCAGCTTCAGTAGACTCACTCGAGTCGTCGCTGAGAAGACCTATCCTAGTTCGCACACGCCGACCGACGGTCAGCGTAACAGCATGAGTCAGACCGAGTCAGAGGTGTGGGACCACATTGGTGGTCGAGTCATAGGAGGAATGTGCATGCACGTTCATAGAGGCAGGCGATGCGAGGGACGGGAACGGTCCCGAGGATCCAGTCAATGGAAAGTCGGTAAAGGAGGACAAGTCGATAGATGGTGAGGGCGAGGATGAAGGGAAAATGATAGGGGGGCCACATGACCGATGTTACTTGTAACACATATGGTACAAGCTCTTTCCACGAGTCTTCATCGATGAGTACCTTTGTGGGATCAACTGTCCCATCTTCACGATAGAATGCAGCATACATGATACGGGAGTCGTCAGGGAGCTCCATGGAGGCTTTGACAAGCCTATATACAGTCTGCATGAATCGATTAGTATTGGGGAGAATAGGAATTGGGAGAAGAGTGAGTCACGAGAAACAAGACGAGACTCACCCTGAACGGCACCCATGAGAGATGCTCCCTTCCAAATGCCTTGGTTATGGAACCCTTCATACCCGAATACTCGACCATGATAGGCGATGATCTTGGCAGGGAGGAAACAAGACATAAGGCCTCCATGCACTGCGCAAGACCTGATGCCACACCATTAGGTGACGATGCCAATTGGGAGAGGATTTTCAGTTGAGAGTGACTCGTTATCTGTGCTTAGAGGTTGCATCTTATCGATTGTCTGTATCCAACATAATGCACCTAGTATTATAGAGGCTGTCTTGAAGTTGTAATGGTCTGAGAGGGAAGGAAGACAGGTGCAGCCGAGTAGAGATTTGTTTTAATCATATATTGCTGCCTTGTCACCACACGTTGCAACACACTACAATGCGCAATGCAGGTGTTCGGTGATGGGTATTAGCTAACATGCCAGCTGACACGGTGTCTTCTTAGATAGATGATCTATAGATAAACACCTATAAAACCAAATATCTCCATGGTCAGTGATTCAGACAAATACCAATGACTGATAACATGGTCGTTTGTGGGTGGCTTTCTTATGCTCCTAAAGTACAGTCAGCACAATGAGTTCTGCACAAGAGTCAGTAATCAACAATCGATCCAACAGTATGGATATGAAACACAGTGATCAGAAACACAACACACAGTCAGTCAGCGATCAACAACAACAACAACAACAATCAAAAAAAAAAAACAATAGCAACAAAAATATCAGGAAACACAATCACTCTAACAATATAGAGATGGCAACAAAAAACAGATACTTTTCCTAACACTTCACACAGCAACAATGATTTGTACACAAACTTAGTGCAGAAAGTTGTGTGGAGTTACGATGAGAGTCCCCCTCAGTTACAAAAACAGGTGAAACTACTGTCAGACCTAGTCAAGCCTCTGTAGTACTCTTAGCCTAATATTGAACCTGCTGTCAAGGAACTCACAATGAGTATTCAAACAGACTCAGGAATGGGCGATCTTGGACTTCAATACCAAATCCCCTTTCAATAGCTAAAGTCTAACTCGCAATGACTACCCTCGACCGGTATAACACACAGATGTATGAGGTCAGGTATCACCATCAACACCTAAAGTCTCCCCACAAGACTATCCTAAGTCTTCAGTGGACAAAAGAGACAACACCAAACTTCTGGGTAAGAATGAGACTGAAACTTTGGTACTTGAGAGAAAGTTGATAGGTCAAGACAATCAACAAAACAAGACCGCTACAACAGAAACACTAACACGATCACATTCACGTAGACCATTAGTAACAACAATCACAACACACAGAGACAGCGATCAGAGAAACAATCAACACAGTTAGTCACCAACACACCACACACACACACTTGAGACAGAGAGAGAGAAAGAGACAAAGAAACAGAAACACGAGTTTCAGTCACGAATCTCAGACACAATCTCAGAGAAACAGAGAGAGAAAAACAAACACACAGACACAGAGAAAAAAATCACAGAGAAAGACACAAAAAGAAACAAAGAAATTCAGACAGACAATCAGAAGAAAAACAGAAAAGGAAAAATTAGTCTTGCTAGTCATCAGACACAGTGAGCTCAAGGTATGTGCTAGATGTTCAGCACAGTGAGCTCAGAAGTGTGCTGCTGGTTGTTGAGCACAGTGAGCTCCAACCTTTTGCTACACTTGCTGAATGCTGAATCACACTTCACTCACAATTTTATTCTGAGAGTATAAAAGCAGGGGAATTCCTTTTTCTATTGGGCAAAAAGCAGCTCCTTATATAGACAAATTAGGTGGCTATACTACTAGTTTCTCACACTTAAAGTTGTAACTTTAGTTTGATAGTACCAAGTTACACAGTATCTTTGAGCCAAAAGTAAATATTCATAACTCTAGTTGGTATAATGATGAGTCAGCAAGAGCTGTGCATGGCCCATGGGTCAGGTGATCCCTTGATGACTCAGCTAGAAAAGAGTGAGAAATGATTACATAATGTGTGAATAGATGTTTGACATCTGTGGCTGATAAACTATTTGGTAGCATAATGACATAGGGTGCGTGTTTAGCAATTTGTAAGCTTTCCCACAGGGTAACCTTATGCGAACATATTTTTTACAGTCACCTGATATGCGTGAGAATCTTTCTGAGTCATCTTCATGGCTGACTAAGCAAAACTCATCGCAGAATTAAATGTACAAAAATATTCAGTCTGCTCGTGTACAAACTCATAAAATGAAAAAAAATGCGAAAAATATTCCCTGAGCCTCAGTTTGACTTCAGATCAAGAGAAAAAAATGTTCATAGTGATTTTTGAGATATAAGACTCATAGGAAAGTATTACTGGTCCATGCAGCAAACCAGTTTGGTGCAGGTCAACAGGCGTCTGTGATATTGATCAGAGAGCTTGAGGTCAATACCAGCTGATAGAACGTACCATGAATATAATGTAATGCAAGATAAAGTAAAGTTATACGCATGTTGAAGCTGATACAACGCAAAACGAGACGATGCAATGCGATCAATATTATCTGTCACACTGTCACCTTATCTCATATTGAGTGTGATACAAACATCAAATAATCATATTGTCATCTCACAACTACATGGTTCCTACTGGGGCTCATACAAATCATACAAACTTGCATTGTGCTCTAAAACCAATACTATCTAACACCAATGGGCCCCCAAGACAACGTAGGTCACTCCGTCAATGTTCAATCAAAAGCTAAACAAATGTTAGCTATACGGCTGCGCTGCTCGTGGATGAAAATTACGAGAGCAGGCGAAGTCAGACAAGACTGAGTGAGACTGTGCATCAAGGCAAAGAGCTGAAAGAGGCAGACAGAGAGGGAATGAAAGTGTCGTTCAAAGGCAGAGAGGAGGGGAAAGTGGTCAACGGCCGGGGGGAGGGGAAAGCGGTCAATGGCCGGGGAGATCAAAGCGGCGATAGGCGGGAATGAGTGGGATTCATTGAGATTGAAGGAGGAGGTACTGTAAGTTAGGTCACAAAGTGCTGTTGTGTTGAAAGGTATGGGTTAGGGATAGATATTAGAATTAGCATTTGTGAAATTGTATCGATAATGAAACGTTACCTGAGCTGCCGTCACTGAAAATTTACTTGGTGCATCAGGCTACCTTGAATGAGAGGGAAAAAATGGGACAACAAGGATGATGACAAGGATGAGGACAACAAGGATGAGGACCAGGACAAGGACAAGGACAACAAGGACAACAAGGATGAGGACAACAAGGACAACAAGGATGACAACAAGGATGACAAGGATGACAACAAGGACAACAAGGATGAGGATGACAAGGACCAGGACCAGGACAATGACAAGGACAAGGATGACAAGGACGAGGAGGAGGATGACAATGGGGACGACAATGAGGAAGATGACAACAAGGAGGACAACAAGGATGACAACAAGGATGACAATGAGCACGAGGAGGAGGGGAAGGGGTGAGTTCGATGGTTAAGCAAAAATGCTAAAACCAGTTGCGCAGTCACTGCTGATGCCTTCGCTGGAGTTCATGTAGTTAGATAGGGTGAGGGTAGAGTAGAGAGGAAATTTAATGCTCACCTTCGTCATTGTACTCCTTGCCTAGAAGCTCGTCCTAGGGGTGAGTTCGACAGCCAAACAAAAAATGCTAAAGCCAGTTGCACAGTCACTACTGACACCTTAACTGCAGCTGGTATGGTTAGTTAGGTGAAAAAGTTGTGTCAAGAGGAGAAACAAATCAATAGTCATCAGTCTAATGACAAAAGTAGCAGTATGAGCAAGATAACAGAAACAGTAAAGGTAGCAGTAAAAGGCAGGAATTAAGAGACAATAGATACAGTTGTGATATCATCTGGAACATCATCACATTCATCCTCTGCAATAATTCTGAGAAGGGCCTCATAATCACGACCACCAGAAGTAGTTCCACTGGTGGCAGATATCAGTAAATCACTAGAGCCAGATGTCAAGAGATCTTTGTGGCTCGTGGAGCCCGTGGCACACATCAAGTTATACTCCATATCCTTTTGGGACACTGCCCAACCCTTGGTGAAGTGCAGTCGCTCTTTTTTCAGCACAAATTTGATCACCTGTAGGGCTTCCATCAAATATGGGCTGAGACGATTGCGCTTCTTTGTAAATGTGTCACTGCTGGAGGAAAATACACACTCGCATGGGACAGCAGAGGCCTGAATTGGCAGAAAGTCCATTGTGATTTTGTAGAGTGTCGGAAACATTGGTGCCGAAACCTAGTTCACCATCAATGCCCAGTTATCAACAAAACCTGCAATAGAGGAATAGGACTCTTACCATCCAAAAAAAAGCAGATCTGTTCCTGTAGGGCTAAGAATACCTGTGCTGTATGCATTGAACTTGTCATTGACTGATTGGGGGCCATCCTGGTGACATGGCAGTATATCTATCTCAGGAAGTCCATAGATGGTTGATCCTAGCGTTGCAGGGCATGGCTGATGGATCAACTGATCAGACTGTGTGGAAACATTTGTTGATCTCTTGTTCCACATCTGTGGGATATATCAGTCAAAAGTTTGACTGTTATTACCAGGCAGACATACCAGTTTGAGAATATAGGATTTTGCCTCTGTGATTTGTGCGACTGGCCAATGTTCGTTCATCCATGATAGACGTCTTGTGGGGTCGATGACTATATACAATCATGAGAATTCACCTTATAGAAACATACACAACTGACACATTGCAACAGCATATGCTCCTGTGAGGCTCATTCGGTCATCATACTTAGCTGCCCATGATAAACCTATGGCAGCCAAAGGTGCACAGTGTGGGACAAGGTCAGCCATGAGCTTCCATCTTTCAATCAACCCTTCGAAGGCTGGAATGGCACTGCCTAGCAGAGGACTGGTTTCACTGGACATGCATTGTTGAGCATGGTGCAGTGCCTAATGTAGAACAGTAAATGAGTTATAAACTTCAGACATCTTAAAACATACCTCCAGGATAACCTCAAGATCCTGCAGGACTTGCCAATCCATGGGGGTCAATTTATAACAGACTATGTTGCATTGAGCAGGAAGGTCGATCCAATGGTCGATAGCCTGGACAACCATTAGGCTGCATGAAATTCTAATAAGATGAAATGTTACCTGTCGTAGGATCCTCAAATGATTGAACATGATATATGTTGAATCCCAACGAGTAGGCTCGTCACACAGCAATTCAACTATTGGCAGGGCCATATGCTCGCCCTTGTCGTCTACAAACCATCTCTCTGCATTGCCAGAAGTAATGGCGGCTCGAAAGCTATCACGATGCTGGCCTGATACGCGGATCACACGGACAATATCTCTAGCCCGATTGATGACATTATTTTGCAGAGCCTTGACATACTCCACCTTATTGAAGGTGTAAGGGCCAGCTACGAAAGTGTCAGCCAAATCTGAAAAGTCTGCAGTAGAGTGCTTATTGAGGATGTGTTGGACGCATATATTTACTATATGCGGAAAACATGGGATGCGGTAATCGACCACGTCGAATTCAATCCCATCTTTCTGCAATAGTTGTGAGAGTTCATCCATCGTGGTCCTGTTGTTGCTGGCATTGTCCAAGGTAGAGTGTCCGATCTGGACAAAGTCAGAGTATGCAATGAAGTACAATAAAACACCAACATTATGTTTCACTTCAGCGCAATCAATCAGCTCTAATATCTTCGAAGCGAGTGCCATCCCTGTGTGACTACCAGGGATATGATGAAAGGCGATGAGAGCAGCCTTCAAAACAAGTGTTTCTTTCTCACTTTCTTTGGCAATCCAATGTGCGGTCACAGCAAGAAAGGGACAGAGCTTAGAATCAGACCATATGTCAGATGTAAATGAAATTCATCCTTGAGCAGCCTGCAAGATATGAACATACTATATGTAATCGATAGCTGTACACTTACAGCAAGGTCACATTTGATAGCTGCAAAGTATTCATCCCATGCATTGATAATTAATTGCCGAAATTTTGTACGATGAGGGATATCGAAATCCTTGATATCTTGACGTAAGAGGCAGAGCAGCCGACGAAACTCTGGACACTCAACAACACTTATTGCCTAGAGATGGCAGTTAATGAGATTACATAGAAAATAGATAGTACTCACTTAGTTGTCAGCTACGATAAACTTCACAATATGTTTATGCATCTCCTCGATGGAGAATTTTGGTAAGTCATGATCTGAAGATGCTGACTTGCCAACACTGGGCTGTGAACCGCTAAGTCTGAGATTTGGGGGAGGGCCAAGCATCTCGATTGTGCATGTAAGATCTTTGAGTCATTCCAGCATCTGGGTGAAGGTCCAGCCTTCATTGAGGCGATCCCCAACAGGATGTATGCCAATTGGCCATTGCTGCTTCTCGGATTCCTGGAGGTAGAGTTCGATATGGACTTTATATATGTGGGAACGAAGAGGGGTATTGCTCGTAGATGAACCGTAAATAGTTAGTGGACAGGATGAGTCAATCTTATTTAAATCCCTGGTAAAGGTGGTGAGAAAGAACATAGAAGACCCCCAGATGTGTTACTTATTCGCATGGAATGCAAATGCACTCGCCAGTGTCCGAGTTCTTCCTAAAGAAAAACTGGACATCAGAAGTAGACTTAAGGCCTCTTTTTCGTGGCAAAGGGATCAGTGAGGAGAGTACTAGTCATTGTCTGTAGTGGGCTCGGGTGTGTGTGGGCGTTGACTATGACTTCAGGTGGGTCATCTTCATCTTCACCGCTGCTGACATTATTGAGGTCGATCCACTTGCCATTGTCCAGATGAGTAGCTGTGTTGTCCTGCCTAAATCTCTGAGGAAGCTGCCATTGTCTCCTAGGGCGGTGAAGAGCAGTAGCAATTGCAGCAGCTGCAGTGGTAGTTGCAGCAGCAGCAGGAATGACAGGAATGGGAGTGGGAGCAGCAGGAGGGAGAGCAGAAGGAGCAGGGGCGACAGGCTCAGGAGCAGCTTCAACCTGGGGAATTTTAGTGTTTTGTCGACAACGGCCACGATGGTTCATGTTAGTAGCAGTAGTGCTGGAGATATAACAAGAGACTTGCCTATGTAGTATATATACCTTTGTCCTGGGTCTCCCCAGGAAAATACCGATGTGTACGATGGTATGGAATCACCTGATCCTTAGCGTTGCAGGGTCTAAACATGATGGTTAATGGTGATACATAATGAAAAGGACATACACATACATTTTGCTTAGCAACTCTCCATAGCATCACAACTTGCCCCTACTGTATCGGTCAGATCACAGTGACCGGCTCTTGGATGTAGGTGGGGATCTCCATGAGGAGAACATGAGGGTTGAATCCTGGGCGATGTAGAGATACAACAATTGCTGGACACTACACGAAGTAAGTGTTTAGCAATATAAAAAAGTGTTGTGATCGTGCACAGCCTAGTCTGCTATACTTGCAAGACAAGTGCATTTGACCCGAGGGGTTAGCTATTTGGAATGGTCTGTAGTTAGTGAAACAATAAATGGTCAAAAGTCCAAGTGCGAGAAACAAAGTCCAAGGGTATATCTATGATGTCTGATGCCAAAGTGTCAGGTCCGATGTTTTCAGGTTTCAGGTTAGCGGGTTTCGGGTTTGGGTTTAGCGGGTTAGCGGGAATGGCGATAGCAAACATCGGGAAAGCGAGTGGTATGCGGATTAACAATAATGATGGGTGTTTTGGATAGAAAGAGCAGTAATATTCGCAATGTCAACTAAGAACTATGAAATATCGGGTTTGACCACTAAGTATCAGGAAACGGCTCCCTACTACTTGGATAATGAAAATACTCGTAGTCAGTCCAATATATATGTAAGTCCATAGAAATCCGGAACCCTATAGGCGAAAGTAGTGGCTGACAATTTCGGGTCCAAAGTACATGTAAACTAACATGAGGCACTGCGGATGATGGGAAAACATGTAATAGCACTTGCTATGACATGAGTAATGTGTGAAATAATCAACTATGCACCTAGTGGGGCTAGCAAGACAGGACGGGACATGGATAGGACAAGTGCATGGGAAAATATCGGGTCTGATGCGGCCGAAATGTCAGGTCTGCTAGTCAAAGTGTCGGGTTTGTGTTGGGTTGTGCGGGTTACATTGGATAGTGACGGGCATTGAACATGTATCGGGAAATCAGTGAATATGAGCCTAGCGTGAGCTCAAGTGCTACACCAGACTTCATTCTGAAATTCAGGGCACATACTTGGGTAAGGGGCACAGCACATGAGCTGAAGCCAAGCCCCTCGGAATCAGTCCTACCCTTTGTGCACGGTTTTAACACAGGGTCAGAATTTCAACAAGTCACAGCTCATCTCAGAAATACATGCCTAGCACAATGAGAGCCCCTATACTGAATGGAACAAATTCACCAATGATACCTATTGCCTTCACTCCAGGTACCAAATTCAAGATGTCAAAGAGCAAGAGCGATAGAATGCAAAGTACCCTTGTATCTGTCACTGCTCCAATCTTATGCCTGAACTCAAGGAATGGCAGAGCAATAAAGGACAATAGTCTGCCGGTCATGTAGAGCTCCAGAATCATGAACATTGCGGACATGGTCAAGGCTGTAGGAAGGTAGCTTCATTGTAACATTAGACAGAGATGCCACATCAGTAAAACACAAATTTCTCCCAGATAATGCCTATTTTGACAGTTTCACACAGTTGCCCACAGACCCTCACAGAGCAGACAGCGCTCACATAAGGCATATAAGCACAGACAGGTAATTCACACAGTTCCAACAGGATGTATAGCTATCATAGTTATGCTGTTCCAGTTGAGCGACAAATGCCAGTACAAATAAACTTGTACTACTAGATACTACCAGTGCGAATCATTCTGTTAAAAAATCAATTGAATATACACAATGATGCATGATGTACTTGGTATGATACAAAAAAATAGTGCATGACTACGAAATACACATGTCCCAATGTCAATCCAACTGGATAGTAATGTTTTGACTGGTGGCAGCCTGTGACTCAATGTGAGAACCTGTAGCTAGTCAACTATAGCACCATGAATGTCAATGTATCCAGAGACTTATTGTATAAAGCATGGGGAAATGCATGATGAGAAAGACCTTGTTTTTAAAAGGCAATCTGCATATACCCCAATCCAACATCTGCCTTGTCCAGTTTGCGCCTGGATATACTGGATTTAAATTTTGATAAATTGGCCAGAACTTCATGCTTGTGGACCATGCAATCAGCCAGTGATTTCTCGGGTCTGAATACCTCTCATCTGGCTCTCATGATGACATGCACCAAACTTGTTTTGTGCATAGTCATGGCTACTTTTGAGCTTTGATGTTCTCTGTTTTACTCTATGAAATTGCTAAGAATTTTCTATAAACACATTATGATTGATTTGAGTAATTTTCAGACAAACCCATAATGCTACATAATAATTCAATTAACACTTATCCAGTTTAAAGATAAGTTCCAAACATACCACAACACATTACTCAGCATTCTCTCACAATTCTTATGATTGTTTTTTACAAGTCTTCACATGTTTTTGTATGTTCTGAAACATATTTACGGTAACATCCCAACATTTTGACAGTTCATGTGTGATCAATGGCTTAGTCAGATGAAATGGATTAGTAAGATGAGATGGATTAGTCAGGAAACTGAAGGAAGAAAGTTAATAGATGGGAATATTTGAGAAGTGAACAAGTCATCATGGGACATTTCAAGCATGACTCAGTGAGTCATTATGAGTCATTTTTCTGTCTCAGTCACTATGAGTCATATTTCCTTAATTAGATAGTTACACAGTGTTAAGAACGTGCTCAAGGGTCGTATCTGAAGGGCTTGGCTTCAGCTTGTGCACTGCACCCCTTACCCGAGTATGTGCCCCTAACTTCCGAGGGCTAATGGACAACATCCGGAGTCCGATGCGCGGGAACTCCGGCAGACATTCAGGAACAAGTGATAAGACTAATCCAGACAATGTCCAAACTAGAAAGGAAACAGCGGAGGACTACCAAAGGTAGAGGTGGAGGTGGTAAGTCAATAGGAGATCGCCTCTTGGACCCGAACCAAGTGGCACCCTGACAAGGACCCCGAAAAAACTTTGTCAACACCGCGCTCAACAGCGCCAACAGCGCCAACAGGCGCTCTTCCGTTCCGAGCGGATCATTTTCATTTTAGTTCTTATTCCAAATACTACTAACTTTAGATATCATCACCCATGACTGGCCCTCGCAGAAGTGTCAGTGTCGGCGCCAACTCTACGACATCATCCCGCACAACCTCTCCGACATATGGCCTAAACACCCGTAGAACGACTAGGACTAATACCTCCCAGGAAAATATAGAAGCATTGCCAAACAAGGTTAAGGACTCGACAACTGGCAAAGCATTCCTGGAGTCGAAACTACTCTGCCATGTGGGAGAACCGTTTACGTTACCCCACCTAATCTTGGCTCTCTTCCAAGTCACCCAGATGTCCAGCACTACGCCGGTTCACGTCACCTCGGCTATACGTGCTGTAGCATTCATAATGAAAGAGCACGCTGCAAGCGAAATCGCTGAACTGGCCGCAAAACAAATCACTGACAACCTCACAGCCAAATTAGTAGACCACGTGGTAGCGGCAATATCTCCCCAAGTAGCACTCATCCACGACGCCTCACAAACCCTCAATGCCACCATCGAAGACTCGACAAGACTACACACCTCCATCGGCAGAGAAAGAGCTGAAAAAGAAGACAACGTCAAGACGGCAGCAGACCGGATCGAGGAAGCAGCGGATGCACTATACGACTCAGTAGAGACGTATCAGAAAGCTTTACAAATACTAACCCCCTCACTAGACGCTACGCAGGAGAAAATTGACCTACTTCATTCACAGATATCGAAAAACCCACCTGAGACTCAGCAAGCTCCACGTCCCACCTACAGCTCGGTGGTAGCGGCACAACTTCCGCCAATGGTAGACCAAGCCATCAGCAGAGCGGCAATTCGAGCTCGACAAGTCCTGCTGGACCCAAGGCCAGGCGAACAGTTATTCCCGCAGAATACATCCAACCAGGACATCGCCAACAAACTCAAGAATGCCCTCACAGCAGTACGAAACGACTCAACCCCGCCAGGCACTATTCGCTCAGTCTCCACATTACGCAATGGGGGCATCATAGTAGAACTAGAAAACGAAACACTAGCCTCCTGGTTCAATTCCCCCAATGGTAAAGCTGCGATAGAAAGCCAACTAGACACCTCAGTAGTCGTTCCGCCAACATCTTTACACCCTAGTCCTAGAATACTTACCTACCATCACGCAGATCGACAGAGACGGTTTTCTCAGGGACATCGAACAAGAGAACTATCTTCCAGACGCAACTCTCGCCTCAATTCGTTGGATAAAACCCCCGCAGAAACGTTCCGCAGGCCAACGTAAAGCATTTGCGCTCCTACTAGTATCGAACATCCACGTCGCCAACAACATCATTCGGGAGGGATTATGTGTCGAAAGTGAAAGGATTAACGTGCGGAAAGACAAGAAAGAACCACTTCGCTGCGCTAAGTGCCAAAAATTCAATCACATAGCTAAGAACTGCTCCTCCCCCCAGGACGTATGCGGTACATGCGGAGAACAACACCGCACAGCCAACTGCAACGCATACCGAACTAATCGCTGTGTTAATTGTCGCAACCAAAGCCACGCCAGCTGGAGCAGATCTTGCCCCGAATTCGTCAAATGCCGCAAAGAAATAGACGAGAGGTTTCCGGAAAATCGCATGCCTTACTTCCCATCAGAACATGCATGGACCCACGTAGCGCATCCCCTCGTCCCTCAAAAACGCCTACTCCACCCTCGCCGTCTATACGCCACTCTCAGGAGCCTGTCCCAAGCCAATACTATCAAACCACCATCCCATTCTCTCGCTCAACTCCCCGCGAAAGTTCACCTCAACGCCCCCAAGATAATGAAATCCATAAACTAATTGCCTCCGCCTCCCCTTTCTATCCTCCTACTCGCGACTCTACTGATAGC